AGATGGGCAAACAAGATTCGTGGGAAACAGGAGATGATAACCACCATTTACTTAGGGAGAGATGATTAACTCATATCAAGGTCTGAGGAATTTACAACAGGAAGACACCTACTTCCCCTGGTCAGTAGTCACATACCCCCCCCCATCACAAGATAGGGACCCCTCCCAAAGGCTTGTGGCTTTGTCTTTAAAAGCTGATTGTGACTGAACCTCAGGGCCAATCGGTCTAAAAGCTGACTGAGAGGCCCATCTGCAGATGCCTAATTAAAACCTCTTGCGTGTTGCATCAATTGGCGTGTGGACTCTTGATTCTTGGGGTGACGAATCCAGCTTGGGGACCCTTCTCAATTTGGGGTACCCCAACAATGACCAGTCCTGGCGTGTATTCTTGGATATCGCTTAATTTTTTACTGTCTTTGTGTGAAAGCTCTTCCCATCTTTGCACACTGACAGGCATACTAAGTTAGTTTGTTATTACCAGGATTGAGTAAGTTAGTTACATACAACTGTGGTGCAGAACAAGCAGCCATGAACTCTCACCAAGCAGAACAATAAGGGCTTATTTCCTGGTTTGTCTGCTTTAAAACTGGAAATGGCTTCTGGTCAAAGGTTAGTGTGGGACTTCTTTTCGAACTAACGGTGCCATATTTCAGAAATGAAATCTTTGTTTTCTACATACATAATTTTATAGTGATTGCACCTGAGTTAGATGATACATCTTTACATTTTAAAAGTATTTGTTGTTTGCCAGGCAGTGGTGTTACATGCTTTTAATCCCAGCATTTGGGAGGCAGAGGCAGGCAGATCTCTGTGAGTTCGAGGCTAGCATGGTCTACAGAGTGAGTTCTGGGACAGACAGGGCTGTTACACTAAGAAACCCTGTCCCTGAAAAAAATAAAACAGAAACGACAAAAAACCCCACCACTACCAACAAAAAGTCTTTGTTGATTATTTGAAGTCAAAATCTAACAAATTATCCTGTATTTTAGGTGCCATTCCTACTTAGCAGAGAGAAAGCCTGGATGGGAGAAGAAGGGAGCGTTAATGTTACTGACAGATAATCTAATGAAGCTGAGAATCAACGACTTCAGTGACCTCTGCTGTGGTGCTTGGACAATGCCTTTTAGGAAGTGATATTATGGGCTCTGTTTGTGTAAGTCACATCTTCTCTTGCTTCCTCTTGTTCCAGATAGTCAAGGATTATCAGTTATTGAACAGACACTGCTGGATTTCCCTATAGAAGTTCACATTGTCTCCTGGTAGTTTGTATTTATTTGTGACCCAAAAGACAAAACAAAACACCAAATATTAGGAAGATCCTGGTTTTATGAAAGTTAATGGAAGAAAAGTAAACCCCGTGTTTACAAAGAGATCCAAAAATCTAATGCAGGGTTCAAATCCAACTCCAGACAGTTGTAATGTCAGGATCCAAACAAAATGAAGATATTAATTTGTCTCAGGTCAGGGAGCTCCTAGCAAACTGGAAACCATCTGGAGAAATACTATCGGCCATCCATTTCCTTACCCAAAGTGTCATTATGTCGCACCTGCTGAGCAGCCTGCATCCGAGAATGTATCGAGGTGGTCGGGATAGATGACACAGAGACCGGTCGGTTGCTTTAAGAAAACTTTATGCTCCCCAAGTCGGCTTAGGAGAGCTCCCCAAGAAAAAACGCTTCCCTTTGTAAGGACTACTGCCATCCATACACACACAATTCTCCAACCGAGCTCTCACACACCTCTCACAGCTCTCACAGACTTCTCACCCTCCTGGCTGGTGGTTTAATCTCCGGCCCCAGAATTGGGGAGAAACAGCAGGGAGCAGGAAGAAGCATCTAGGCGTAGGGGGGATCAAAGTCATGGTGTTTCAGTGAGTGAGCCCTTATCGGAGCCCTATCAAGAGCTTTATAGCACTGAATTGTTTTCAGTAAACATTATCTCGCAGCTGCCTGCTCCCAGGCTGATGGAGGGGTGGGTTTCCAGCCAGGGTCTGTGATCCCCACATCATTACTTATCATGAATTGGAGGTTTTTATCCCTGTAGGAGTTCTGTGTTTCTTGGCTGTAGAACTGTCCTTACTGGGTTATTTTGTTAATCAACTAATTGCTGATCTCGGTTATGTTTGAATTGTAGCATGCTCCCACTATGTAGCCTGTTTGGTGTGACAGTGATGGACAGGACTTCATCCTCTTACCCACATGAGGCCACACAGATCATGTGGGTAGCAGTGAAAATGGTGGTTCCCAAGTCTATGACTTGGACACCCCTTAGTGAAATCACCTTTTTGAGAGAAAATGGACCACCACTAACCCATAGCAGCAGCAGATGAGCTTTGGTGGGAGTCATCTGTCTAGTTTCACTAGATGTCAGTCAAGTGGATATTCTGGGTTTCCTGTCCTTGCTAGCATGCCAGCTGTTCCTCAGACCTTTGACGTCCAGCTGTGCCTCAAACCTTAGACTTTCAGGCTTCTTTCAGTTCTTCTTACAAAGTTTCAAGTTATCATTCATGGATCAAGGAAGCAGAGAAGATAGTGCAGTTTTTTTATGTTTATTCACGATTATCTCAGTGTGTAGGGCAGTCCAGATTCTAACTTGACAAGAAGTTTCCACCTTCCATGAGAAGCTGGTCTCGGTCCTCAAATCCCTTGGCAACCTGGAGCTCTTGCTTCCCTGTCTCATTTCTCTTATGTACAAAAAGCATTTGATACCTGTGATCTCTCCCCTACAAACAGCTGTAGCCACGATTTTCCAATCACAAGCCATGTGAGGATCCAGCTTACCCACATGAAGGGTTGCTGTGACTTATTCAGATAAGCAAGGCAGCAAGGAAAGAACTCGAAGGGCTGGTGTCAGCTTACCACAAATTTAGTCTGCCTGAGTGCCAGTTGGTCACAGGGGTCTCATCTGCTGTGGTTTAACAATCTTCTGCGACCAACAGAACATGGTGGAAGTGATGTTTACTCGAGTTGTGGGACCTGAGTCTGACGTGTTGAAGTTTCACTTTTCTCTCTGGAACAACTGTGACATTCTAGGAAGAAGCTGAGGAAAGTCCACCAGGAGAAAGAAAGGCCAAGTACCTGGCTGACAAATGGCTCATATGTGAGTGCCTCAAAGGCCCATGTGTGAAAAAGAGTGCTCCCTTTAAAAGGCTCATAGGTTAGTCCCTAGCTAATATGCTATTAAAGGGTAATTGGACTATGAGAAGGGTAAACTGCATCACAGGCTGCCTTGGTTATGGTTTCTGTTGCTGTGAAGAGACACCATAACCATGGCAGCTCTTAGAAAGAAAAACATTTAATTGGGTCTGGCTTACAGTCTAGAGGTTTAGTCCATTATCATCATGGCAGGAGGGGCAGCATGCAGGCAGGCATGGTGCTGGAGAAGAAGCTGGGAGTTCTACATCTGGAACAGCAGGCATCAGGAAGAGAGAGTGACACTAGGCCTGGCTTGACCTTCTGAAACCTCATAGCCCAACCCCAATGACACACTTCCTCCATCAAGACCACACCTCCTAATAGTTCCACTCCCTCTGAGCCTGTGGAGGCCATTTTCAAACCACCACACTGGGCTAACTCATTGGTGAGCTTCATGACTTAAAGAACTGTTAGAACAGGGCCTGAGTCAATAGCCCTGTACCATAACACTTGGCTATGACCTAGTTTTTAAACTCCTCAAAAAGAGGAAATGAGCTTAGGAATTCCAGCCATGAAGGGTGTGTGTCTGTTAGAATACTGAGAGTGAAGATGCTTGAGAGAAAAAAAGACCCTGAGGGACCACATTCTGAGACATTATTGACTATCCAGATGAGTTGTATGCCCATAACAACACAACAAAATGTGAATCTCTTCACAGCAGAACTCAGTAGTAATGCAACTCACTTTGTGGTTGTAATTCGGACATGCCGCTTCGTTAAATGGAATAAGTTGAGGACATTATTTTTATATTAATTAATCAGTTACTTAATTGAGACATGGCCCTGCTGTGTAGTGCTGACTGGCCCAATACTCATTATGTAGTCCAGTTGCCTTAACCTTACTATGAGTCTTCTGCCTCAGCTCCCTTGCATACTGGAATTACAGACATTCACCACCACACTGGATTATTAAACTCTGAAAAGAAGATTTTCTTGATTTCATTGGCATGTACTTTTTTCCCTCAGAAATGAGCTTTTGCATTCTTCTACAAAATAGAGATGATGGGATTAAAAGGTATAATGAACTAATGGTATAGGTATTTTAATTAATTAATGATGTGAATTAAAAATTTCCTAAATTTGAATACTAAGAACCACACATAGACACATGGTCTTAGTTAGGGTTTTTTATTGCTATGAAGAGACCCCATAACCACAGCAACTCTTATAAATGAAAAAATTTACTTTAATTGGGGTGGCTTGCAGAGGCCAAAGATGAGCAGACATTGCCTGGAGCTGGAGTTGCTCAACATGGATGTTGGGAACTAATCTCAGGTACTTTGCAATAGCAGAAATTGCCCTGAAGCAGCCAGATCTAAGTCCCCATTTATTTAGTACAATGGTTATGGAAGACACAGAGGACAGGACCAATTAATTCTTACATGTAAGAAAGTTTATTAGAAGGAAGAGAAACAACAAGACATAAGGAATTCATTTTAGAAAAATAAAATACAGAATATACCCAAACCCTCAGGGCTGTGGTTGTAAAGTCAATGTTAAGACTAATTTACTGGGAATAACAATTGAGAGTCACAAAGTTAATCAATTTGTAGAATTAGGATGAATCCTTAGCCCATGAAATACAAGTTAATTTCTATACCTCACTAACATTAGAAAGAAACGGTAGCAAAAGAGAGAATGTCAAGTGAGCTGGGATGCTCTGCCCTATTCGGGGGAGGATGGCGGGCTCACCGGAATTGTGCAGTCCATCCTGTTAAATGATGTTAAACAGAGTCCATGTGTCCTAAGGGTTCACATGGAAGATTGGCATTTATCTGCAGGGGGAGATGAGCCTAGAGCAGTGATCTCAGCAACAAGGGGTAGCGCAGCACATGGGGCGGGGGCAGGTGGAGATCACACAGGTGGGGCGGTAGCAAGTGCTGTGGCTGCAGACCTGACCACAGACTGGACGCAGGCAGCAGCAGGGGCGGCAGCAGGGCTGGCAGCAAGGACTGCAGCAGCTGGAACCACCACAGGAGGGTTGGCAGCAGCTGGAGATGCAGCAGCTGGGGCGGCAGCAGGTGGGTTGGCAGCAGCTGGAGATGCAGCAGCTGGGTCTGCAGCAGCTGGGGCGGCAGCAGGAAGGCCTGCAGCAGCTAGAAATGCAGCAGCTGGGACGGCAGCAGGTGGGCTGGCAGCACACAGACTGGCAGCAGCTGGGCCTGCAACAGCTGGACACACAGCAGCTGGGGCGGCAGCAGGTGGTCCTGCAGCAGGTGGTCTGGCAGCAGCTGGGCTGGCAGCAGCCTTGGCCACAGCCCTCCTCAGAGCAGACAGAGCCACAAGAATTGACCATGGTGCGATAGGTGGAGGTTCTGGACAGGTTTACAAGAGAGTGAATGGTACTGGGTTTGGAAGTCTCCTTGACCTCTGCCCCTTTTATACCCCGCTGAACACATCATATGACTACATCATTATTTCCTTGTTAGTATTTTCCTTCTTGGGAAACTTAATCATTTAATTGCATAATTATAATGTTTCTAGTTAAATACTCCAAAAGATAGAAAACAAGGCATTTTATTTTCCGGGTAGCTCGCATGTTTGCAACTAAAATACTCATGGCATTTTTTCCATAGTGGGTCGACTTGGTCCTTTTTGCAAGTAACTTGTCACATGACTCTTTAGCATTTTGTTTTCTAAACGCAAAATTCCCTCCTGTGTGTCCATAGTTCCTTGCAAATTGTGGAAAAGCTTTTCCACAAATTCTAGTATGCTTTTGATGTCAAGGAATGTTCTATCCAGGTGAGATTAAAGGAATAAATTAGAAGGAAAGGCTATTTAGAGGGAGACTGTCCTATCTCCCATGAGGATGACGGTGGTCTTGTGTGTCCACTGGAAGATTGGGGAGATGGTCAGATCTGAGAAAGTTCTGAAATGTCATGTCTCATTCCAACCTTTTAAGTTGAAGGACTTGGCAGTTGTTCAACCACTTAGAAATCATAGAAACTTTTTTTTTTTTTACTGTAAGTCTTCCTGGAGATTGATTATGAGTGAGGAAATTTTATTCAACTTTTAACTGGGAAACTGAACAGTAGACTTTTTTTTACTCATAGTGGCATCCAAAAAATTTACAAAGTAGGAAGTATACTTCATTAGTATTTTATTACACTTTTTTATTTATGATTTAGTGTGTTGGTGTATGCTACACTCACCGTGTAGGTCCCAGGGATGGAACTCCAGTCATCATGCATGCCAGCACCTGCTGAGTCACCTTGTTGGTCTGAATTTTTTATATGTAAACAACATTTTGAGTTTCTTTGTCGATATATATGCAAGAGTTTCAGCTGGGATATTCTAGGCATACAGCAGGTATAGCCTCATGTATTTCTGTAAGTGGTTGGATAAGACACAGACAGAAGGAAACACTTGGCACAAAATAAAGAATTCCAATGAGTTTAATGAAACATCTAAAATCAAAATATGCAGTATAAGAATGTGTTCCCTGTGTCCTGTCCTGGCAGAGATAAGGTTTGTAAACTGTCCCTGTGTATCAGGCACTGTGTGAGTTGTGCTGTATTTCTTTTGTTTTTAATGCAATTCTATGAAGTACTGTGCACTCTTCTTCTGATAGAGCAGCAGAGAGAGGCTAAAACTAAAATTTATGTCCAAGAGGAAACACAGTGAGCTGAACTTGCCTCTGAGCAGCAAAGAAAGTGTGAAGACTCAAGCTTGCAAGCCTTTGCCGCGCTTGCTTTGTCTTCTTGGAATGCTTCTGGTCAGCTCTGCAAACCCTTCCTCATCCGACAAGGCTCACCAGAGATGCTTCCTCCCCTGTGGTGTCTGTCCTCCTAAAGGGCCCTCTTCACAGGTCATGAACCTCCTGTACTGTGCTTCTAACTCAGCACATTCTACTTTATGATAGAGGCTTGTGCGGTAGATGGAAGTGTAGGCGTGGGCAGGAAGCAGCCCCAAGGTATATCACAGTCCTCTCTGAGAAAAACTCATTTATTTATCTAATCCATTATTTGGTCAAATGTTCATAGTGCTTATGAGGCAGCATTTGCGGCAGTGTGTCACCAAAGAAAGGCTAGGTGTAGGAAGCAGCAGAAAATTTGATTTGCAGAGGGAGACTTGTTCTTAGATGTCCATCAATACCAGGCTTAACTCACATATCTATAGGCTTGGGTGTGGGTAGGACGCAGGCACTTACCAAAAGTTAACACCTATTCTCTTTTGCCCCTAGACTTCCCAGTTTTATTGTTACTGCTAAGAAAACTGTCAGCTAAAAGTACTTCTGAACATCCCTTGACTTTGCTTGAGTTTTACATCCTACAGAACCCTAGACGAAGACTCCATCCCAGAAGGTACAAGAGAGGAATTGGGGAAAATGGACAGAAGAGGAGAAAAAATCCAAAACATTTGTGTTAATGATGGGTTTATACTGTGGGCTATAGGGCACCAGCCATGTGAAATGTCTAAGCCTAGATGCATTCGGCTGCCATGACAGTCTCCTCAGAATATCTTAGAGGACCAGTTGGGCATTAGTATTAACCATGAAGTCAGTATAATATGAATTTATGAAAACAGATGGATATCTTACACACAGACAACAATCCTTCATAGAATCTACTCATCATTCTCACAATAAATATTAAAAATGCAAATAAACATGCCTAGCCACACACTCAGTCTGGATGGCTTAAGTACCGACATTTCCTGAAGTATATCAAATAATCTTTACATAAATGATGGCACACACACAAAAGCTAGGTGTGTGAGTGAATGCTGTTTTTTCACTGTGTGTATGAATGTGTTTAAGTGTGTAATGCATACCAATGACTCTTGAATGAGATTAGCAATGAATCATGAAGGAGAATTTACTTTTGATCAAAGACTTCTGTGTTGTTTTATATTTTAAGGACTGTGTGTGTGAGAGAGGTAGAGTTCCTATATAAACTTTATAATTTTCTTCAAGGATTATGTACAATGTATTTCTGCCATTTACTTATATTCTTATTTCTACCAGGCACCGAAAGATTGAACATTCATTTTAATGAATGGTTTCAGCTCTCAAGTCATCTATCATGAATGGGTTTTGGATACAGGTGGAAATCTCCAGAAAGCAGGTGCTGAGTCAGAAGGGTGCTGGAGGTTCACAGAGACATGCTGTGGGGATCAACTGTCATGGAAGGGAAGGGTCAAGTAGCATTGGATACTGGGAAAAGCCAAACTGGAAGGCCACCTCATGGGCAGGCTTAGCTGGTCTTCTGTGTTCAGAGAATGGAATAGCATTGTTTACAATCTCTAAATGGAGGAGAGGAATGTGGTTCTTTATCATGTCATCCTGGAAAAGGAGGGCAGCCTTGGGGAAAACGCACCACCTCCAGCAACAACAATGGGCTTCCCCCAGCCCTCACTTATATCACCTCAGAGTGGTCCCCTATACAGGGCGATGAAAGCCCTGTTGACATTCTGCCCTCATGAAGCACGCATGTGGAGATAAGATTCACCACATCTGACTGGAGCAGAAGATAAGAAGACTAAGCCATCCACTGGCTGTTTGTAGTTCCCTAAAGATTAAAAGGCAGTGTGAATTGTGTTCAGTCTTCCCTGACAATTTCTCCTGTTATATACTCACGGCTGCTCTATCGTTTTAATCCCTTTAGAAAGCTAGGCAGTAATTAATGCCATTTCATCTCTGTTGGAAGTTTGACTAACCTATGTTGTCTGCATTTAAGTGTAGTGGAAATGCAATTTGCATTTAGGCAGTCATGTTGGTGAGATTTATGGGTGCAGCTTCTGACGCTTCCAGGAGACACAGTCTCACGGTAAACTTCCTGATCCCCCTGGCTCTTACAATCTTTCCATCCTTTCTTCCACAGCATTCCCTGAGCCTTAGGTGAGGGAGTGTTTTATAGACGTATCTATAGGGACTGGACGCCACAATTCTGCATATTGATTGGTTACAGTTTTCTGTAGTGGGCTCAACAAGTTAGACCTTGGAATATACGCATACAGTAACAACTGAAGAAAAAGAGGCCATGGAATTGAAGAAGAGTGGGGATTGGGTATATGAAAGGATTTGGAGGGGGAAATGTAACCTAAATATAATCTCAAAAATTAAGTAAATAAAGACAAAAATACATTTATTCAGGAAGCATATGTAAATGTGTGTTTTAAAATATTCTTTCTCTCCCACCTTCTCCCCCCCCAGTGTGTGTGTGTGTGTGTGTGTGTGTGTGTGTGTGGTATGTGTGTGGTGTGTGGTGTGTGGTGTGTGTGTGTGTGTGGTGTGTGTGGTGTGTGTGCGTGTGCGTGTGCGTGTGTGTGTGTGTGTGTGGTGTGTGTGCGTGTGCGTGTGCGTGTGTGTGTGTGTGTGCGTGTGTGTGTGTGTGCGTGTGTGTGTGTGTGTGTGTGTGTGGTATGTGTGTGGTGTGTGGTGTGTGGTGTGTGTGTGTGTGTGGTGTGTGTGTGTGTGTGCGTGTGTGTGTGTGTGTGTGTGCGTGCGTGTGTGTGTGTGTGTGTGTGTGTGTGTGTTTGCAGTTGCCATAGCATACAGAGAACAACATGTGGGAGCCAGTTCTCTCCTCCCACAATGTGAATGCCAGATTCGGAACTCTGATAGTCAGATTCATTAATAAAGTGCTTTTATCTGCTGAACCATTCCCCTTGCCCCCTTCTTTATTTACACATTTACTTTAAAAAAAGAAAATAACAATCACATTCAATTTTCAGTACCCATGGGATGAATGTTTATTTTTGTTACACAGAAATAGCAAAGTATGGACATTTTTGCAAAGACTATAAAAGACACTTTATTGGACTGTAATGGCATAAGGGTTAAAATTTGTGATCCTACAAGTGCCAGGAAAAAGTTAAATTCCTCCAGCATGATGAATAGATAAAAGACAAGGTAAGACATGTGGGGGAGACCTGTTAAGTCATTGGGAGATTTTTGATAAATTCATTCTAAGAGGAAGAACTTTAGACAGAAGTCAGATGTGCACACGGAACAATGGCAAATAACACTGACTTCTGGGACTGGGGAATTAAGTCCCTCGAACACTACATATTTTCTAGAAGGAAGCACTTCATTGGTAGAGAATGAGGAGATAGATGGTGAATTCAAAGTTAAGATTCAGCAGCAAGGGGTGGCGCAGCACATGGGGCGGGGGCAGGTGGAGATGACACAGGTGGGGCGGTAGCAAGTAGTCTGACAGCAGACCTGACCACAGACTGGATGCAGGCAGCAGCAGGGGCGGCAGCAGGGCTGGCAGCAAGGACTGCAGCAACTGGAACCACCACAGGAGGGTTGACAGCAGCTGGACACACAGCAGCTGGGTCTGCAGCAGCTGGACACACAGCAGCTGGGTCTGCAGCAGCTGGACACACAGCAGCTGGGGCGGCAGCAGGTGGTCTGGCAGCAGCTGGGCTGGCAGCAGGTGGTCCTGCAGCAGGTGGTCTGGAAGCAGCTGGGCTGGCAGCAGCCTTGGCCACAGCCCTCCTCAGAGCAGACAGAGCCACAAGAGTTGACCATGGTGTGAGAGGTGGAGGTTCTGAGCGGGTTTACAAGATGGTGAGAGTTCCAGGTCTGGTCTCTCTCCTTGCTGTCTGTCTCTTGCTTTTATACCAGACTGAGGGCTACTAACCCTATGACTCTTGTTTATAGTACAGAAGAACAGTTAGTTTTCCCTAATTAGTTGTGTTTATATATAGAAAAGGAGCTGCTTCTCTTTCCTGCTGCACTCTGTGCTATTTAATTTGGCAGAGAGAGTCAGCTTTCCTTTTTCCCTTTGATATATCCCCCAAATTAGACACGGTTCATGACTTTGTTTCCTTGGGTTGAGTGTTAATTCTTTATGTCTGGCCTTATCCTGGGGTAATATGTTCAGAACAGACATCATGGTGACTATATCTCTGGAAGCAATAGGTTAGAAGCAGACCTTCTGGGATACTGGTGGGAAAATAGGATGGAATATTGGTATTTTGGGGATATGAAGGAGTTAGCTTGCAATAAGCAAAGAATATTGTGTTTCCCACCTGGTCAGTCAGGTGTGAGCAAACTTAGTTAAGGTCCTACCAATCTTGTCTTACTTAATCTCTCCAAGGTGAAACAACTTTGCAATGACACTTACTTAAGGGCACATTTTGGTCAACCTTTTGGTAAGTCAACAAACCCAATGAGTATGTTCAATGCAATCGTCTTAATATATTGTCTAGATGCATGAAATTCCCATGGAATAAATGAAAAATAACTTTTAAAGTATGTATTTTCATATTTTGAGTTATTCTTTTCCTTAAAAATGTATATTGGAGTTTTGCTTGAGATAAGATAGAAATAAAGGCATAAACTTTCATCTGCATCTTACAAATGATTCAGGGGTCAGGACACATACATGGTAAAGAGGTTGTCAGTTATTTCCAAGGTTGTTGGACTGGTCAATAAAATAATAATTAGATATTTAAATCCCTGCATTCACAGTGGACAGTGTGATATAGCCCTGCTACTTAAAATTAGTTGAATACTTACTGTGTGCTAGGAATTTTTGGAGTCCTCTGTAATTGTTATCTTATTTACAATTCTCAAGGACTCTGTGAGTTGGGTGCAATTCTTATTAATTCCTTACTCATGAGGTTACTAGGGTCCCAAATGGAGTAAAGGGACATAGCCAGTCTGTCATAGAATATGAAGAATGATAATCTGGTGCCATTTATTAGGCCTAGAATATTCTATTTGCTTAGAATGTTGTTTTCTTCTTTGTCAAGTTAGCAAACTCTTACTCATCCTTCAATGCCCAGCACAACTCACTTGTGACCTCTTTCTTGACATCTACTGCATCAACTGAATCTTTCTTTCACTATTGCTTCAGTTTTAGGGTATGACACCATATTAGAACTCTTGTTTTTTCTCCCTTTTCCAAAGTGTAGCCTAAAAGGTCTTATTCTCAAGAAATGTTTCACTTGTATGTATTAGAATGGCACCCACTCATAAGTGGGAGGTCAGTTGAGTGAATATGCGACGTATTAAAAAGAAAGATACTTACCAATGATTGAAATAAACTATTTGTGCGGAGAAGAAAGGAAGAAACATTCAGATGATAAACATAGGCTTAGATGAGCCCATGTTTGGGCTTTTGATGGGCCCAATGACTTGCCAATTGTGTGTGTAGATTGCAGAGGAAGACAGTGCTCAGTGAGCAGGATGGAGAGAATTTAAGGATTTTCTTGAATTTATACTGAATGCTGTGTCATCATTCAGTGGAAACAAAAGTTGGATAAACACCTAGACCTTGTAAGTATTTGGAGGTGTGAGAATGGCAGGAAGCATGAAGAACACTGAGGCGGTGGTTGTATTAAAGGTGTGAAATGTGAAGGTCTGTCTAGGGTTGTAAGAATACATGTAGAAAGGAGGAAGGACGTTGGCTTGGTAGAATATCAATGAAGTTAGATAATGTTAGCTACAAAGACAGATACATAGGGCCTCATCATGTGAGAAGTTTCATATGCTTCTGTTTCATACATGTGAACACACACACTTTTGCAGTTTAATCCTTCCTGATAGTTCTGATATGAAACAAGGCACACCAGTAATGAAGATACATCTATAAAATTGTCAAAGAACAAACTCAACAAAAAATTTTAAAAATACTGCATGCTAAGTCATCACAAACAAAAATAGAAATGGCAGAGAGAGAGAGAGAGAGAGAGAGTGTGTGTGTAAAAGATATATTAGAAGGAATCCATGCCCAGTATTATAGTCTCTGGTGAAAAATTGTCTAGAAAAGTCATAGTCCCTAGAAGAAAACTTACTACTATTGCTTGTTTATCTAAATTGAGAGAGAGGCAAACTGTTTTGTAGGTGTGTATGTATACACTTGTAGACAAATGCTACTCTCAGCCTTAAGCAGAGAAACTTTTCTTTGCAGGCAACAGTAACGAAGGCAGGGTTGTATGGCTGCTCCAAATGTTGAGAACAGGAGACAGATGAAGGCTCAGCTCTACATAAGACTCTCACACCATATCCTTTAAGGGTCAGGGGACATCGCCAAAGAGCGGACTAGAAGAATGTAAGATGGGAAAGATAGGGAGAAAGGCTATGGACTGCCATCCTCTAAGCAAGGAATTGTATGTAGATTCTGGGCAAGTTGTAGTCCTTGCCTTTTGTTCCTTTGCTCACTGGTGAGTGGACCAGTCTCCAGTGAGCACCAAACTCAGTATCACACACATGGACCCAGTTTAACTCAGTGTGCCATAAAACAAAAAGACATAAATGAGGGAGATGGTGGGGGTGAGAATAATCAGAATGTATTATGCTCATGTATGAAATTGTCAAAGAACAGATTTAATTAATAAAATGTGAAAATATTAATTATTAATTAATTGATTAAAGAATGGCATAACTTCAGACACTGGACATGTGTGATAAGTGGTTTATAATCATGCTCAACTCCCATTTTCAATGACAGCTTGAAATGTCTTTAAAAGGCACAGGACAGATGAACAGATTTGGTATTTGATAAAATAAGCTATTAACTCACTTAATGGTGGAAAGGGGCACATCTATAATTATTTTGGGGTATTACTAGACAAACACTACATAACACTACGTTTTTGTGGGCTTTTGTTCCATTTTGTTTTGTTATTTTTGGTCTTATCTCTTGACTCATTTGTTTTTCTTTATTTCCTTTTTTTTTTTTTTTTTTTTTGGTTTTTCGAGACAGGGTTTCTCTGTATTGTTTTGGAGGCTGTCCTGGAACTCGCTCTGTAGACAAGGCTGGCCTCTAACTTCCAGAGATCAGCCTGCCTCTGCCTCCCAAGTGCTGGGATTAAAGGCGTGTGCCATCAACGCCCCCGGCTTTGTTTTTCTTGTTTTAAAGAGAGGGAAAAAGAATGGGCTGGCAAAACCAGCAGAGACAGCTGATCTGAACAGGGGAGAGCTCTTGGACCCCAGACTGACAGCTGGGAGGCCAGCATGGGACCGATCCAGACCCCCTGAATGTGAGAGTCAGTGAGGAGGCCTGGGCTACCTATGGGGTCCTGAGCAGTGGATCAGTGTTTATCCCTTGAATACTAACAGACATCGTGTGTCCATAACACAAAGAGGGTTGCTCTCTCTGTCTGGACTCTTAGGGAAGTGCCTGGACCCTGAGTGAAATGATAGACTTTAGATAACCCCTATGCAGAAGGAATTGGCAATAGGGTGGGAGGATGGGGGGCATGGGGGTGCGGGAGGAGGGAGGGAGAGGGAACTGGGATTGACATGCAAAACAAGCTATTTAAAATTAAAATAAAAAAAAGAGAGGGAGAATACAAAGTTTACTGGGAAGAGAGCTGAGGAGGATCTGGGAGGAGCAAGGGAAGGGGAAAACATTAGTGAAATATTTTGTATTAAAAACAGGAAAAAAAGATTAGACAAGTAATAACATTAATAATAATAACAACCTTGTTGATATTTGAGATGGTTGTTATAGCTCCTATTAAATAGAATTGATTATTTAAAGGTAAAAATAAGATAGAGTAGAAAAAAGCTCAGCTGCTTAATGGGGAAAAGATGTTTTGTATAGAGATGCATGACAGTGGGAAGAAAAGTGTGAAAACTTTGAGGCCTTGAAAATATTTGGAGGTAGGGGAATAAGTCATATGCCCTTTCATACATCATGAAAGAAATAAAATAATTAGAGATGATACTTTGCAGTCATTAGGTCAAAAGCTCAAAATTTGACAATATGGAAATAAGTGCACTCATGATTTTGTTAAGATTTGCCAATAAATAGCAGCATTATTCTTGGACATAGCTATTCCAAATCTATAATGTATCCCCAGATATAACCCAGAAAAAGATATGAAGTCACTTCTACAAGGTTATTTATATCCGTTCTGTTAGCAAGGGGAACTAGAGTAACAAAACAGAACTGGACATATCCTGGCCATCCTTCTATGAGATACAGAAATAAATGACAGCAGCTTTCTCCTTTCTGCCCCGAAAGTGAACAGGGTGCCTCTTTCTGTGCTACTGCTAAGCAGTATATTGTTAAGCAGTGGTAAAGCAAGTGTATTAAACATTCATCACATTCTGTAGTATGTCTAAACATGATTCAAGTATAAAAATGCATATGGGCTAGAGAGCTGGCTCAGAGGGTAAGAGTACTTGCTGCTCTTCCAGAGGAAGAGGACCTGCTTTTGATCCCAAGCACCCACGTGGTGGCTCACAACTATTGGTAACTCCAGTTCCAGTGGATCTGATGCCCTCCATTCATACCAGGTACACGTGTGGTACGTGGACACACATGCAGACAAAGCACTTACACACATAAAATAAAAATCTAAAATGTGCTGAGATAGAGTATTGGGGTAGGCTTTATTCTTGTCTGGGAGAATTGAAAAGTCAAACAGAAAAGGAACACAGGTTTGTACAGATATTGGCTGTCAGGTAGGGTAAGAGACTCTTGGTGTGTGGCAAGGAGGAGAGGCTGGCCATATCTATAGGGTGAACGAAAAGGCTTTTTTTGATGTAAACAAAATTTAAACAACATTTGCCTTTCTTTCATCAACAGTCTCATTTGTCTTTAGACAACATGTAAAAACTCATGGATATAAATCAGAAATCTCATTTTAGAAAGACTGTAAATCATGTTCTCTGGGTGTACTTCTGTTGACATTCAAATATCTCATAGTAACTACCAGGATAGTAGAGTCTGTGTCTATAGCTGAGGGCAATTGGTTTTCTTTTAATACAATGAAAGCTAAAAGTTCTAAGTTTGAAATCAGGATGAGCGTGAGAGACGGAGGTTCAATGTTAGTATGTAAAGTCTCATTTGCACACAGGAAAGATGAAGCTGAAGCTGAATCTTTGAGGTAAAGTAACCAAGCTCCAGGCTGCGTCTTCCCTCAGACTCTTCCGCCCCACCACACAGACACTACAGGCATGCCAAAACACAAGTTCTTCAGGGTTAAGAGGAAATCTTAGAGACTTATAAACTCACACTGGATTTTCTGTGTGGGAAAGTGGTCGTTTATTTTGACACAGTGACACAACACAGGGAAACTGGAGAAGTAAGAATGGCCGAAGAGTATCTTTATTGAACAATTAACACAGATACTATAAAGAGCAACACCATAGAAATATTGAAATCAACCTGTGGACCTTTGAGCTTTGTGACCTGAACCTAGAAGTCAAGAGGAGTCTCTGAAGGATTAGTCAGGTCAGTACAACAGCTGGCAAGGTACAAGCAAGTCCACACATAGATGGGAAGGAGAGGCCCACATGAGGGATTTGGATCGGAGTTAGAATAGCTGTTGTTGGGTCCAATAAAATGCAGAGACATGATTCAACAAAAACAGCATTGAACCCATTCTGTATGTCCTTGTGGTCAGTTACAGGGACAGAGATGAAACAGAAGCTGGATCCAGGGATGGAGGCTCAGCAGCAAGGGGTGGCACAGCACATGGGGCGGGGGCAGGTGGAGATGACACAGGTGGGGCGGTAGCAAGTAGTCTGACAGCAGACCTGACCACAGACTGGACGCAGGCAGCAGCAGGGGCGGCAGCAGGGCCGGCAGCAGCTGGGCTCACAGCAGGAAGGCCTGCAGCAGGTGGGTCTGCAACAGCTGGACACACAGCATCTGGGCCTGCAGCAGCTGGGGCGGCAGCAGGAGGGCTGGCAGCACACAGACTGACAGCAGCTGGGTCTGCAGCAGCTGGACACACAGCAGGTGGGCTGACAGCAGGAAGGTCTACAGCAGCTCGACACACAGCAGGTGGGCTGACAGCAGGAAGGTCTACAGCAGCTCGACACACAGCAGGTGGGCTGACAGCAGGAAGGTCTGCAGCAGGTGGTCTGGCAGCAGCCTTGGCCACAGTTCTCCTCAGAGCAGACAGAGCCACAACAGGAGTTGACCATGGTGTCAGAGGTGGAGGTTTGGGATGGGTTTCTGAGAAAGTGAGTTTTGAGAATCTGAAGGTCTCCTGGTTGGTGTTGCCTTTATACTCTGCTGGTGTCACCATGAGCAAAGCTCTTTTCCGTGTTTTTCTTACCAGGACAGTAATTAGTGTTATTAAGGCATAATTACATCTGTAAGGTCAAATATTCAAACATGTATAAAGGCATCATTTTCTTTTTCTACATTGTAATGATTCACTGAATTGGGCATGTGAAACGGGATTTGTGCTTCTATTTCTGCCTGTGTACCTTCTAAACTGGGGCTAGCACATGATACATGTGTCACTCTAGGCAGGCCTGATAATATTTTGAGAACGGCTCACAAAATGTCGACTCTTTTAATGCGGATACACATAATCGATTTCCCAGTAGAGTCCTGGTAAAGAGAGAGATGGGGGGAAGATTCTTCAGGGCAGTTATCTGGCTACAGTCAAGGACAACTGTGTTCATAGCTCATTGAAAGGATTGCACCTGAATGGATAGCTTTATATGGGTGTCTTTCAATGGCCAAGCCTCATTTATCCAGACAAACTTATCCCCTTAGTAATCCTCCCTAGGTATGGTACATGAAATGTGAACAGGTTTGGTCCATCGTCCGATAAGCCAGCATATGCTGTAGATTCTGCTTCCTATAAAAAGAAAGTCCCATGCAACACTATTTCAATAATTATGGGTTTGAGACACTCTGCTTAGATAATGAGGGCATAGTAAGCTGTGCTCCTTGTCCTGTAAGCTCTGAAGTATGCTATGTTTGAAAGGAAATTCTGACGCAAACTGAACGTTCTGAAGATCAGAATTCAAATCAAGAATTAAACACATCATATACTTTTCAATGAAAATCGAGGTCACAGAGACCGTCACTGTTAGTGAGTGTCAGCCACACTCCAGACCTCCTATTCCTGCTTTGTGATTATCGCAGTGAGGCTACTTCTCAAAGAACCCAAAGGCATGAGGTCACTAAGCTCATGCAGAAATGAATTAAAGTTGTTAGGGACTTAAGTAGTCCCCAGGGCAGAAATGTTAAGTCCCATTCCTTTTATTGTCCTGTTCCATCTCCTTAGAACTTTCCAGAAAGTTCTTTTACTTCAAGTCAGTAGGCAGCCTGCCCTCCTTCCTCCCGAGTGTTTTCTTTGACATTGTTTTTATTAGTTTATGGAAATTTCACCTACTCCTTTTGCTTGCCTTTATACCTGCTCGAGGTCAAATGACTAATTTACAGCTATGTGTTACCACGTCATTGTCTTGCTTGGTGTGATGGATAATTTTCATGATCAACCTGATGGGATTAAGCATCTCCGTGGAGACCCACATCTGGATGTATCAAAGAGAATGTTTCCAGACAATTTCACCAAAGCAAGGAAGGGCCACCCTGAGTGTTGACAACACACTCCTTGGGCTGTGATCCCATACAGAATGAAGGGAGAAAGAGTGGAGAACCAACATTCATCTCTCTTTGCTCCCTGACTCAGACTCAGTGTGACCAGATCCTCCATACCCCACTGCAGGTCTTTCCCATCACAATGGACCATATCCCCTTGAGCGCAAGCAAAGCTAACTCCTCTTCCTTGAGACGCATTTGTCAGGTATTTGATCATGAAAAACATGAATATACTTGGAATTGACTGTACATCCCATACTTACTTCTCATAGTCCTAAAATTACTTTAGAACTTTAATTGTTTTATTATTATGCAAATTTTTAGGCTCCAAAATAAGTTTTACAAAATGAGGCACATCCAAAGAAGTCTTGCTTTTGTCTTTCTTCTTTGCGTGCACTCTCTCTCTCTCCTCTAGGACTAGAACTTGCCTTTGATTGGCACATGCTATGTGTACATACTAGGAAGGTACAATGTAATTTCTTGGCTCGTGTGCATACTGGATAATGATTAACTCGGACTAATTAGCATATCGGCCAACTTGAATGTTTATCATTTTTTAAATTGAAGGTTATCCTCAAATTGTTATTTTAATACAAGGTCATATTTACTTCCAGCTTATTTGATAACTGTTCTCATTCTATGCACACTTGGTTACAGTTTGCTTCGGCTCTCTTAAAGCATGACAACAATGGCATGTTACTATTTATTCTATAGCAGTGGTTTCAGATAGTTCTCATTGCATTTCAGCTATACAATATTCAACTTTGTGGACATACTATAGTTCATCTAGATAGTCTTCTACTGAGAAACATTTGGATTATTCCAGGTTTTGTTATAAAAATGATACTCTACATTAGAAAGCAAGTTTTACTTTGGCGATCACTGCCAAGTATAAGCTCTGCCTTACAGAGTAATTATTTCAAATTCAGCCAGTTTTTTTCTTGTGTTTTATCTTTAGTTGCACAGTATATTGACCTTCATTCTGATTCTTGAGTCTCCTAGAGCACCTCGGCCTTCCTAATGCTTCAACCCTCCAATTATAGTTCCTCGTGTGTGGTGACCCCCAACCATAAAAATATTTCATAACTGTAATTTTGCTACTGCTATGGATCATTATGTAAATTTTTGTGTTTTCTGATGGCCTTAGGAAACCTCCGTAAGAGGGTCATTTGAGTCCCCCCTAGAGGTGACACCCACAGGTTGAGATCCATTGTCCTAGAGCTCTTGATTTGAGGTTTGCTCTATATTTATACATTTATATCATCAGCAGCATAATCATGGATCTCACCTTGTCTCATGCAATGTCTTTTGGATTAGATTCAGCTCACTTAGTTTTTATCCTTAACAAATAGCTGAGGTTTATGTCCATTTTGTTCTTCATCCATGGACCTGCACTTCTGGCTTCCTTTCCAAACTACAAGATGTCATTTGCTCTCTAGAATGGAAAGATAGGATATGTCATTAATAAAAATATCCTTTTGAGGGAATATTTCCCATTTTTCATCTAAAGCGGAACACTAAAATTCAGTTTCTTCCATATGAATAAAGTCACAAGCAAAAATACTATGTGCAAACTGAAAAGGACATTTTACTTTTGTTTTATTTTTATTTCATATTATTTTCTGTATGTGGGTTTTGTCAGCACTTACGTCTATGTACCATGTCTGTACCTGGTGCCCACGGAGGCCAGAAGAAGGAATTGGATTCCTTGCAGCTGGAGTTACAGTCAGTTGTAGATCCACCATGCTGGTGCTGGTAATCAAACACGTCCTCTGGAAGGTCAGCCAATGCTTTTAGCCACTGAACCCTCTCTCCTTCCCTTGGGAAAACATTTGAAGGGGAGCACATCAGATACTTTATTGAAAAACTCCATTGTGATGTAGACTCGTAAGTGCAGAGTCCTATGCATGTTGGCTCCCACTGTTGCCTCAGCGTTTACAACTGGGGTTGTGATGGAAGTATTCACTAGATGCTCTTTGAAAGAGTGTATGAAGAGCCTGGGATCTGAGGGTCAGTGGCAGCAGACTCAGTTTTCAGCAGGCCACTTGTCAAAGGGACATGGAAACAATCACCAGGAGCTCTGTGGGACTTCTCCGATGAGGGCATGCAGTCTGTAGTTAGCCACAGCTTACAGCAGACCACATTCAGCTTGTCTATTTCCCCTGCTGGATCTACCCGCTCCTCTAAGATATGATTCTGTCCTCCGTATGTATCGGGATTTGAAAACTTACTATCAAGAGAAAAGGTTACTCATGGTAAAGTCCTACTCTATTTCAAGTACATTTTAATCTGATATTGGAACATGCCTGCTATATTATTTCCCAATTAATATGTGAGGCTAGCATACAAACAACCGAGTTTCATCTCAGCATAGGTGTCAATGTGCTTTGTGCTCATACTGAAGCCCTGCTCTCCATGGAGGCAGAAGGACTACAGGTCTGCAGCATCTGGACCCCAAAGATGCAGGCTGTCTGTTTGAAGCGTGAAGCACACATTGTGTTTTTCATACTCTGACATTCCTGAAGTCCTGCAAGCTTTGCAATGTTTCACAGCTTTTCTCTTTCCCCCAAATTGATTATAGTGCTAAGTAATTTGTTCGTGAAATAGTAAGACACCTGGGAAAAAGTCAGGGACTAATGGAAGCTGAAAAGCAAGGAAAATTTCTTGTGTGCTCTGTAGTTAAAATACTCTTGCTGTGTATGTGCCTGTGCTTGTGTGTGTGTGTGTGTGTGTGTGTGTGTGTGTGTGTGTGTTTGGGTAGGCCAGAGGTCAACCTCTAATGTCATTCAGTAAGGTCTGTCCATCTTAGTTTTTGAAACAGAGTCTCTCCCTGGGACCTAAATTTCACATATTAGGCTAACCTGGTAGCCCAACAGCCCAAGGACTCACTTGCTCTGCCTCCTGGGCACTGAATTTGCATGTGCCACCACCCCTGGCTTTTTATATGGATTCTGGTGATTGTACTCAGGTCCTTATGCCTGTGCAGCAAGGACTTTACTGATAGAAGAGTCTTCCAACCCCCAAACACATTTGTTTAGGAAGAGAAGACACCATCTTAAAAGAGTAACAGTCACACTGAATTTTTATTGCAGAGAAATGGGAACTTTCCTTTGGTACAGAAATATATTAGCAAAGTGCTATAGAGAAAGCATGCAGAGAAGTGTTTTTCCAGTTGTTTGCTGACTGAGTAAAACTTGTTTCCAAGTGAAATCCAGATTCCAGACATCATCCATGGTCTGGCTTCTCACCGGACTCATGAAGTTAATTTCACAGCATCAGTTCTGTCCCTGTGTTTCAAGTTAAAACACATCCACAAAATATCTGGATCTACAGAGCAGGGAGTGGATCCATGGCAAGGGTCTCAGCAGCAAGGGGTGGCGCAGCACATGGGGCGGGGGCAGGTGGAGATGACACAGGTGGGGCGGTAGCAAGTAGTCTGGCAGCAGACCTGACCACAGACTGGACGCAGGCAGCAGCAGGGGCGACAGCAGGGGCGGCAGCAGGGCTGGCAGCAAGGACTGCAGCAGCTGGAACCACCACAGGAGGGTTGGCAGCAGCTGGAGATGCAGCAGCTGGGGCGGCAGCAGCTGGGGCGACAGCAGGTGGGCTGGCAGCACACAGACTGACAGCAGCTGGGTCTGCAGCAGCTGGGGCGGCAGCAGGAAGGCCTGCAGCAGCTAGAAATGCAGCAGCTGGGGCGGCAGCAGGTGGGCTGGCAGCACACAGACTGACAGCAGCTGGGTCTGCAGCAGCTGGACACACAGCAGGTGGGTCTGCAGCAGGTGGTCTGGCAGCAGGTGGTCTGGCAGCAGCTGGGCTGGCAGCAGCCTTGGCCACAGCCCTCCTCAGAGCAGACAGAGCCACAACAGGAGCTGGCCATGGTGTGAGAGGTGGAGGTTCTAATTAGTAAGGGAATGAGTAGGTAGGGAATCTGAAATTCCCCCTGCTGCATGCCCCCTTTTATATTCTTCTAAGGGTACTATGACCATGACCTGGAATATTTCGAAGTTGTTTTTCTTTTCCCTGAAGAAATTGGCATCATTAAGTCAGATCATTGTTTTGCCTTTTTAAGTACTTGAAGATGAAGAAAAATAATATTTCCTTTTCCTTGTGCATTAAGATTACCGGATCTGGTTTTTGTCACAAAATTTCCTTCCCTGTTTCCTTGTTTGTCCACTCTGCTTCTGGGGTTGGCCCATCCTATGGATTCAGTCACTGCTTATGCTTGTGGTTTGCGTAACACTCATGATGCTACTTAAGCCAATGTGTCTCACAGTGCTCACATCTCTTTTGATGTCAAAGGGAAGAATGATGATAACAGGGAAATGCAGGTGAGGGGGGTAGCTTATCATAGCGAGATAGCTCCCTGTGAGCTATGAGGAAGAGCGTCTTGTCTGTGAGTCATGGATGCTCATTTGATGGTGGGATATTCAGACTACCTCCAAGAATGCAGTAGAAGCCATACTTCCTTTACCCATTTTCAAGCTGTCACCAATGACTCACTGTTTTCAATAGGAAAATGCCTTTGGGGCCACCTTGAAGGCACTCTCACTGGCCCAGTATGGGAAAACTTGAATATCAAAACAAATAGTGGCAGCAATGGATTTCAACACATCAAGTGCAATAAGAATAATCAGCCTATACTAAGACTAAATAGAGAAATATAAGAAGACCAGAAGCTCTCCACAACAGCGGAATGGTGATGAGTTAAATGGGAAAGAGCAAGGGAGTTACAGAGTCTCTATATCCATGGTAATAAAACTTGGTCAGGAAATCTCAGTGAATCCTAAAATGATTCGATAAATGTTTGACTAGGGGCATGGCATTTGTATATTTTAAAATATTTCTCCATTTAAAAATGGAAAAATGCTAAGTTACTATGAAAGAATTCTTAATCTGGGGATCAGCATTGGTTTTAGGGTTGTAAAGACGGCTCAGTGCTTTCTCTGCCAGCATGAGGACTTGAGTTCAACCCCCAGAAGGTATTCCAAGCATAGGGGCATGTACTTGTCACCCCAGCACTGGGGAGGTAGAGGCAGGTGGAATTGGGTTTGCTAGCCAGTCAGGTCTTTTCTCAAAATTAAAGTGATAGACAGTGCCTGAGGCATGATATCCAAGGTCATCCTCTGTTCTCCACAAACATGAGCACATTTGCATCTGAACATATGAGTGCAGACGCCTCTCTCTCTCTCTCTCTCTCTCTCTCTCTCTCTCTCACAGACACACACACACACATCCATGTATTATACATACGGGCCTTTGTTCATTCATTCCTTCATTCCTCCCCCTCCCTCTTTTCATCCATCCATCCACCTACCTACCTGTCTCCTTGTGTGTCTATCTAGATATAAATCAAGTGTGGTAAAATGATAATTCTCTGTGAAGGCAGCATAGAATGAGGAAATCTTTGCACTATCATTACAACTGGGTCAAAACAAAAGAAAGAAATTAGAGACTTCCTAGAATTCAATGAAAATGATTGCACAGCGTACCCTGACTTATGAAACATAATGAAAATGCCGCTAAGAGGAACAATCATAGCATTAAGTATCTACATTTAAAAAATTGAAAGATCTCATACTAACAACTTAAAACAAACCTGAGAGCTCTAGAACAAAAAGAAGAAAGCACATCCATGAGGAGTAGACAGCAGGAAATAATCAAACTGAGGACTGAAATCAATAAAACAGAAACAAAGAGATGAATACAAAGAATCCATGAAACATAGAATTGGTTCTTTGAAAAAAATAACAAGATAGAAAAACCCTTATCCAAACTAAAACACACATAGAGAGGATATCCAAATTAACAAAATCAGAAACAAAAAGGGGAGGACATAACAACAGACACCCAGGAAATACAAAGATTCATTAGATCATACCTTAAAAACCTGTGCTCCACAGAATTGAAAAGTCTAAAAGAAATGGGTAATTTTCTCAATAGATACCACTTACCAAAGCTAAACTAAATCAGATAAACAACTTAAATGACCTATAACCCTTAAAGAAATAGAAACAGTCATTAAAAGCACCCCCCACCTCCTCCCCCAAAAAACCCAGGACCAGACAGACAGTTTTAGCAGGTAATTCTATAAGACTTTCAAAGAAGAGGCAATACCAGCACTCCTCAAATTATTCCACACAACAGAAACAGAAGGAACAATGGAAAATTCACTCTATGAGGCCACACTCATCCTAACACCCAAACCACACAAAGGTTCAACAAAGTTAGAGATTTATAGGCTAATTTCTCTTATGAACATAGATACAAAAATACTCAACAAAATACTTGCAAACTGAACCCAAGAACACATCAAAAAGATCATCCACTGTGATCATCCCAGAGATGCAGGGATGGTTCAACATACGAAAACCAGTCAATGAATTCCATCATATAAACAAACTGAAAGGGAAAAAACACATGATCATTTCATTAGATGCCAAAAAAAAAAACTTTTAAAAAGTCTTGGAGACCCCTTCATGATAAATGTCTTGGAGAAATTGGGGATACAAGGTTAAACCTAAACACAGTGAAGGTGGTACACAGCAAACCTATAGCCAGCATTAAATTAAATGGAGAGAAACTCAAAGCAATTCTACTAAAATCAGGAGCAAGACAAGGTTGTCCACTCTTTATGTATATATTCAATATAGTACTTAATGTTCTAGCTAGAGCAATAAGACAACTGAAGGAGATCAAGGGTATACAAATTGTAAAAGAAGAAGTCAGAGTAACATATTTGCAGATGATATGATAGTATACATCAGCAACCCCAAAAGTTCTACCAGGGGACTCCTACAGCTGATAAGCACCTTCAGCAATATATCTAGATACAATGTTAACTCAGTAGTAAAAAATCAGTAGCCATCCTATATACAAATGACAAACAGACTGAGAAAGAAATCAGGGAAACAGCATCCTTCACAATAGCCACAAAAATATTAAATATCTAGGGGGAACCCTAACCAAGCAAGTGAAAGACTTGTTTGACAAAAAACTTCAAGGCTTTGAAGAACTTGAAGAGGATATCAGAAGATAGAAAAATTTCCCATGCTCATGAATCTGTAGTATTAACATAATAAAAATGGCCATCCTACCAAAAGCAATCTACAGGTTTAACGCAATCCCCATCAAAATTCCAACACAATTCTTTACAGATCTTGAAAGACACTACTCGGTTTCATGTAGAAAGCAAAAAAACCCAGGACAGCCAAACTTTGGCATTTGAAAAAAGATTTCCCTCCATGTGTTCTTAGCACTTCACTCATTTTGAAGCCCATGCAGTTATTCAAGGCTGATAGACTGGTGGGTTGGAGGGGGAGACTGATGAAACAGACATCTTGATGGGGTGTGCATTTGGGGGGACAGGGAGAAACCTGGCTCCAGGGGAACCCCCAGGAGTCCACAAGGATAACCCCAGCTAAGACTCCTAGCAATAGTGGAGAGGGTGCCTGAACTGACCATCTACTGTAAGCAGATTGGTGATTACCCTAATTGTCTTCAGAGATACTCTGTCCAGTAACTGATGGAAGCAGAGGCAGAGATTCATAACCAAGCACTGGGCTGAGCTTCAGGTGCCTTGAAGGAGGGATTATAAGAGCCAGGAGGGTCATGATGGGGGAACCCACAGAGACAGCTAACCTGAGCTCATGGGAACTCATGTACTCTGGACCAACAGTTAGGGAACCTCCTCAGGACTGACCTAGGCCCTCCCCATGTGTGTGACAGTCGTGCAGCTTGATCTCCTTGTAAGACACCTAGCAGTGAGGTCAGAACCTGTCCCTGGGGCTCAGCTGGCTTCTGTGAACCTATTCCCCATGCTGGATTACCTTGCTTAGTCTTGACATAAGGGGAGGAGCTTGGTCCTGCCTCAACTTGATGTGCCATGCTTGGCTCAAGCCCATGGGAGAACTGTGCCTTTCTGAATGGAGAGGAAGAGTGGAAGGGAGGAGGTATTTGGGAAGTGGAGACTTGAAGAAGAGGAAGAGGGGAAATGGCAGTTACTATGTAAAATAAATGAAAAGTTGTTATTTAAATAAAATTAATTTAAATAAAAAAGTTTTTAATAAATTGCTATGAAAAACTGACTGTCATTTAACTGCTTGGTACAGAATCTCTTAAAATATTCTTTCACTTTTTTACTTTTTATTTTCTTTTCCATTCATATATTTTAGCTTTTCATGTTCATTGGTGTTTGACTTGCATGTATGCCTGCATGGCTGTGTTGGAGCCTCTGGAGCTGGAGTTACAGACAGTTGTGAACTGCTTTGTGGATGCTGGGAATTAAACTCAGGTCTTCTGGAAGAGCAGTCAGAGCTACTGAGTCATCTCTCCAGTACCACTTTTCTTATTCTTTATTCTTTGAAATTTTCATTCCTGTGTGTGTTGTGTTCTAGTCTTTGTCATTTCCTGTCACCCAGTCTCAGCTCTCCTCAGACCCAGAGCTTCCTCCTGACTAGCACCCCCCTCCTTCTTTCCTGCCTTTGCCTGTGGGTGTGACCTACTGTGTTTAAGCGGGCCTGGTTTCCTGAGCACTGGTAGGAGGTTATTTCGTGTAACACGGGCAACTTATCAACAGGTAGACCTCTGGAAAAAAAAAGTAGGCATCTCCCAGCCCTCACCAGTGAAACTTCTTTTTGCAGTAGACATGGGTACTTAATGCAGAATCCCAACCATCAAAGTAGAGGATAAGGGACTGGAGAGAATTCAGACCTAAAATGGACATTTTATCACACATGCATGCATGTGCACATACACACACATACACATACATGTGTACACACATGCACGCACACACATGCACACCCCACACACTTACACACTCTGCTCAGGAAAGATCACGAAAAAGAGAGTGGAAAGAGTGTAAAACCCAGTGTCTTCTGGACGTGGCAGGTTGATACACTCATGAGTTTACTACACATGACTGACTGCAGTTCCTTTTTTCCAATTTTTAACTCTTCATGTTGGACATTTCCTGACATCATGAGAGCAGGGTCAAGAAAGTTTGGGGTAGTTGGGCTTTGAATATAATTTCCATTAACCGGAGACAATCATTATAAAGCAACAAACACAGGAAAATTGGTTTTCTATTCCAATGAAACACATTTTATTTAGAGTAGCAGCAATAAGGTACAAAGATGTCACAGTTAAAGGGAAAGCAAGGTGGCCCAAGAGACTTCCAGCTGTAAGGGTATAATCTGACTCTACAGGCGCTGGAGGCATTTCCGTTTGGATAGAGAAGACCTGCACTCTGGTTACCTTCTTTTAAAAAATATAGCATTTTGTATTAATTATTTGAGAATTTTCACACACAACGTGCAATGAATTTTGATCACATTAACACTTCCACTCCTCCCCGTAACTCCTTCAGGATCCACTCCCACCTTCCTCTGTATTAATTTCTTAACCTCCAATTTCATATTTTGGACTGAGACGAGGTAGAAGTCAACAGAAGCCGCTTTCCTGAGTCTGGGATATGGGCGCATAATTGACAGGAATGGCCTCTCTCAAGATGGCTAAGAGGTACACAAGGTCTATTTTCATAACGAAGGAGGTGGGAAAAAATGGCTGTGCTCAGGAAAGAAAGGTCTCAGCAGCAAGGGGTGGCGCAGCACATGGGGCGGGGGCAGGTGGAGATGACACAGGTGGGGCGGTAGCAAGTAGTCTGACAGCAGACCTGACCACAGACTGGACGCAGGCAGCAGCAGGGGCGACAGCAGGGGCGGCAGCAGGGCTGGCAGCAAGGACTGCAGCAGCTGGAACCACCACAGGAGGGTTGGCAGCAGCTGGAGATGCAGCAGCTGGGGCGGCAGCAGCTGGGGCGACAGCAGGTGGGCTGGCAGCACACAGACTGACAGCAGCTGGGTCTGCAGCAGCTGGACACACAGCAGCTGGGCTGGCAGCAGGTGGTCCTGCAGCAGGTGGTCTGGAAGCAGCTGGGCTGGCAGCAGCCTTGGCCACAGCCCTCCTCAGAGCAGACAGAGCCACAAGAGTTGACCATGGTGTGAGAGTTGGAGGTTCTGGACGGGTTTACAAGTGAGTGAGTTTCACGTTTTGTAGTCTCCTCGCTGCAGGTCCCCTTTTATACTCAGCTAAATTGTTTCTGTAATTATGAGAATACTATTTCCTTGTTTTTGTTTACAGGATACAAATGCAAATTAATAGACTGCAGCTTTCTGGTAAAAACTGCCAATATGCAGGAAATAATTACTTCACCTTTCTCATGTTTCCTGGTGTTCCACCATGAATCATCTCTTGTATTCTTCCTTCAGCTGCCATACATATTACATGACCTCAGTCCCTGCTCGTCATATGACATGGCATCGTCTGTGCTTCAGTTCTCAACCCGACATGATTTCAGAGGGGCTCCTCATGGAGGTGGAATTCACGGCAGATGGATGCTGGCTTCTGTCAGGTGCATCACTGGAATGAAAACAGGAAGGAAGGTCTTTTCTTTCAAATGTGAGAATTCGAGGTGCCCATGATCCATGTGTACATTCTAGGTGTTCATTGAGCTAGTGAAATTCCTAGGACATTCCAAGATGTGGTCAGTGTCAGCACCCTGATGCACGGTGGGATGGATAGGCATGACTCAGTATTTTAATGTCCTGAAGAGTCATCTGGATTGAGATCTGTCTTTGGAGTTGCACTCCAGGCTGAACTAGAGTAACATACCTGACAGTTTTAAATCCATTTTTCTGTAATATTAAGATATCTCGATGTTATACTTTATTGACACTTTGCCAAACTATTTTCATATATTCTAGAAGTTTTTGTAATCTTTTCAGTTTTTAGAGACATTAAGAAGATTATAAGACCTATTCCCAATTTTACATGTGCTTACACAGAAATTACATTCATGGAGTTTACCTCAACACCAGAATTCCAGAGAAATGCTGTTGTCAACTGTGGCAAGAGAGACTTCTCAATAGTGGACGACAACTAATGCAGTGGCTTATAGTCCCAAATAGGACATCTATATGACCACATCCTGAAAGAGCAGGTGGAGAGAATGTACGAGCTAGAAGGGACGGGGCTCTGCAAATCACCGACTTCTGTACACGACATAGTCGTGCACTCATGAACTCACAGTGTGTGTGATTACCTGCAAAAGACTCATACAATCGTGGTATATGGGAAAAGATCTCATTAGGCCTCATCCCTCCCCAAGGGGCCACTCAGTTAAAGGCTGCTGGAGGAGGTGGAGTCATTTAGTGGCATAACCACTGGTAAGTTTTCCGTGCTCTGGTCAATGACTGCTACACTCATGCTTATGCAAGCAATCTCAGTTAAGCTCAGTGGGTCACAAAAGCAGATAAAGAATGTAGGAGGGGGACTAAGGTAGGTACAAGAGGATAACAGAAGAAACATATGATCAAAATATATCATGCTTATGTATGAAAGTATCAAAGAATACGTTAAAAATTAACAGTGTTCACAACAAAGTTTCACATAACTATGTGAATCTCTTTTAGGGCTACCAGAATTCAGGTCTAAAAAAGTTACTTAAGGGGGCCAGTAAATTGCTTAGCTGATGACAATGGGTGGCTCTCCCTGTCTCAGTTAAAAACAATCAAGACAATCCCTTGCAGATATGCTCAAACGCCAACCTGACCTGACCTAGATAATCACTCATGGAGACTGTCTTCTGGATGAATTTAGAATGCATAAAGTTGACAATTAAAACTAATCATGACAGCCACCTTCAAAGTTAGTAACTTCTTTTATATATTCTGGATTTGATTTTCAATCCACTAATAATTTTCATGTACCAGGGCTGCAGCAATTAATGTACTCAGTTAACATACTTGTAATGGTTCTCAAATCCAGTCTACTATTATGGCAGTCTGCTAATGAACTCAAATATATGTGGGACAAAATAATACACATAGTAAGGTCCTTGCCCTGAGAATGTGCCTGGCTCCTGGCTAGACTCTATTGACACAGCAGTCTTAAGATTCTTGGGTTACGAGGTACACGTTGGATTCCAAGTAAGAGTTATATGTTTAGAGAAGAAGGAAAGAAAGAAGGAAGGATACAAGGAAAGATGCTCAAAATTTATGCAGCCAATAATGGAACATGCTGAAACACGAAATATAGTCCAGTGAAATACAGATAACCTCATGCTTTTGAATTCATCGGAATCCTTAAATTACCCTTCACTTTGAATTATGCAGGAGAATCAATGAGTGATACATATTTTCCTGATATTCATCAAAGAGAATGCTATGCCAAGACACTATTTTTAGCCTTAGGTAGCATTTCAGTAACAAAATCCACACATGTAGAGAGCCTATATTATATGTCTTACCCCGTGATAAGTGTATAACATGGATTAGGTCTTTAGATCTTGTAAAGGCATAATATATCATTCATATGCATCATTTATATTTTGCAGAGACAGTCTGAGTTTTGAAGATGTCAGTAGCCTTCTCTGTGTTACATTGCAAATAACCTGGAGTGTCCTGACTCAAGCCAGGTGACAAGAATAAAGGCCCCCTGCTCCTAATCATACCCTTCTACATTGGTGGTGAGAAAAGTGGTCTTGGTATGAAATGACAGATAAACACATATGCAAGCCCACAGATACACAGACCCACAGACCCACAAACACACACACACACACACACACACACGATAAAATATTTAACCCATTAGGAGATATTAGTAAGATGGGAAATAGCTTTCGGTTGAGATCTTGTGGAAACAGTGCTTTATGGCATCATCATAATTAGCTAGCCCTCAGAATGCAGATACATCCCATCTAAAAATAGATATACTCAGCTTGGGTTAAAATATCATTTGCATTTACTCCTGCTATTTCCCGTAGGAACTGAATTCAGCTCTGACTGTTTCATCAAAGAGAACTTAGCAGCTGAGAGTCCATTTTTTCCAGTCACTGGATAGCTATAATGCATTTTATGTGACTAGTGAAAACGTCCATGGTGTGACAAATATTCCAAGCAGAAACCAGCAGCAAGAAGAGGCACAGGACACAGTGGTGGCTGGTGCAGATGATGTCGGTTAGGCAATGGTGTGTGCTATAACAGAAGAGTTGGCCGTGTGCTGCACACAGCAGTAGGAGCATCTGCTCGAGCTTCAGCTGCTGGAATTACCACACTTGGAAACACAGTAGCTGGGCCGGCAGCAGCTTCCCAGTGAGCAGACAGAGCCACAATAGGAGCTGACCACAGTGTCAGAGGTTACAATCCAGGAGGGTTTCCAAAAAGATGAGGTTCTGGAGTTTAGACATCTCCCACAGCCTCTTACTCATTGGGTGAAAATGCTTTCCTTATTTTTGTTTTCTGACTAGTAATTATACATTTGAGTAGCATTTACCCACTTAATGGCTTAATTTATTAGAAACAAAATTTTCTTGTCCAGTTGTAGTATACTCTACTGATCTGGTTTCCTCCTGACTCATGTTTGGTTCTGATTGCTTCTGGAGTCTGCTGTTTTCATCTCTCTTTCAGAGGGCTGTCATGTGAGTCTCTGTGTTTGAGATTATGGCTCTTTCCCTCTCTGTCTGTATCCTGTACCATAATGATAGTTGTGTAGACATAGTTCTTACTATGCATTTTTTCACTAACCAATGGGAATGATGCCCATTGTTGTGGCATTTTGTGGGGCAAAAGGCAAAGGTCTTGATAGTTCAGGTCATTTTTGAGTAATGAGAATACTAATTACTCAAAAGTAATACATGTGCAATGTTGTTAATGACATCTGTGCCACTGGAAATGAATTTTGCCAGATGTTAAAGATTTGGTATCATTTTCCATATCCTTAAACACTGGCAAGCAATTTATCTGTGTAGTTAGTGCTATGGAAATGTCCTGTTTCTCATTTTCTCTTTCAAATATTGCTTTTTTGCGTTTATTTTTATTTCAAAAACATTTTCATACAACATATTTTGAATGCATTCTTCCCCTTCCCCCAAGTCTTCCATGATACTTCCCACCTCCCTAAATACCCGACTTCATTCTCTCTCTCTCTCTCTCTCTCTCTCTCTCTCTCTCTCTCTCTCTCTCTCTCTCTCTCTCTCTCTCCCTCTCTCCTGGCATGTGAAAAGAATCCAAGAAAGATGCCTTGTCCATATCCTAATGTGAGGCACAGGGCAAGTGGCTTTCTGCAGAGCCTGCTGGAGACCAGAAAGGTGGGCTTCACTGATATCAGATTTGGGAGCAGTTTCTAGGAATCTGGCTTGCTTCCATGTCTGTCTAATAGATTGTATTTGAGAGGATTTCCTTATTAGACTTTTGTCAAAAATCCCTGGGTCTAGTGCTTTTAGTGAATCCCACATAGTTCACATACCATGAGGTAGCACCCTTTAAACACAGTCTCCTCTAGAGTGTTACAGTCATGGACACTGCTCTCTAGGGCTCAGATACAGTAAGGGGACAGAACGGACAAACAAATAAGGATTAATAGTTAAAATAATGGTGCAAAACTTGTAAAGAAAGAGAAAAATTTAAGATTTGCAGTTAAGTGGGAAGCAATCCAAAGGTCACACCACTCATGGTGACCGCCATGTTGTGTGAAAATATGCAGAAAGTTGCCGGGCGGTGGTGGCGCACGCCTTTAATCCCAGCACTCGGGAGGCGGAGGCAGGCAGATCTCTGTGAGTTCGAGGCTGGGCTGGACCGACAGCCTCCAAAACAACACAGAGGAACCCTGTCTCGTAAAAACCAAAAAAAAAAAAAAAAACAAAAAAAAAAAAAGAAAGAAAATATGCAGAAAGCCAGCAACAGTGAGACTAGAAGACAGGGCTCTGAGATGGGTACTTCACGTGATAAGTGACCAGCATGGGAAGGAAGCCAGCAGAGCACATGTGAGCAGGACATTCCCACCGAGAACATGGGACTGAGACATGTTCAGTGAGTGCAAATGGGAACATGTGGCTCCTAACTTCCTCCACTTGCTCTGGTCTCAGAGCTTCTCCCTCTGACAGGGAAAGCTCTGGTAGAGAGGACCATGTGGCTGTTCCAAGAAAACACCTCCCTGCACTACAGCAGGCACACAGAGGAAACAGAGGGCACAGGCAAATTAATTTACTATGGGCTTTTCCTTATTTTGAGAGGTGCTAACAAGAAGCTGACAGCTGAGAACAGTTAAGGAGAAATAAGGAGATGTGATGCATTTGCATTTGAATGTCTAAAATTCAGATTTATTTAATATATAGAAATACTTCTATTACAGAGATGGGACAGAAAATAAACATCAGAGTGGAAGTAACATGATAGATTAGAGAGAAAATCCAAATTCATTTTTATTTGAGAGAGGGGGAGAAAGGGAAGGAGGGAGAGAGGGAGAGGGAGAGGGGGAGAGAGGGAAGGAGGGAGAGAGGGAGAGGGAGAGGAGAGAGAGAGAGAGAGAGAGAGAGAGAGAGAGAGAGAGAGAGAGAGAGAGAGAGAGATTTGGTTAGGGAAGACAGAGTGAGTAAATTTCTATTTTGAGGCCTAAATCAAGATAAAAGAGATCAGCCACTCCAGATCAGCGCACAGGAGTTCTACATCAGCAATGCTGGGTGATGAAGAACAGGAGGCTGTGTGTGCAGCACTCAGCAGCAGGAACCACTAGAGCATGCTGGGCGGCAGCAGGTGGTCTGGCAACAGGTGGGGCGGCAGCAGCTGGAGATGCAGCACTGGGGTCTGCAGCAGCTGGACACACAGCAGCTGGGGCGGCAGCAGGTGGGCCTGCAGCAGTTGGAAATGCAACAGGTAGGGCGGCAGCAGCTGGATCCACAACAGCTAGAACTGCCACAGCAGGGGCGGCAGCAACTAGAAATGCAGCAAGATGGCCTGCAGCAGCTGGACACACAGCAGCTGGGGTGACAGCAGGAAGGCCTGCAGCAGCTAGAAATGCAGCAGCTGGGACGGCAGCAGGTGGGCTGGCAGCACACAGACTGACAGCAGCTGGGTCTGCAGCAGGTAGGTCTGCAGCAGGTGGACACACAACAGCTGGAACTGCTACAGCAGGGGCGGCAGCAGGAAGGCCTGCAGCAGCTAGAAATGCAACAGGTGGGGCGGCAGCAGCTGGGTCTGCAGCAGCTGGACACACAGCAGCTGGGGCGGCAGCAGGAAGGCCTGCAGCAGCTGGAAATGCAACAGCTGGGGCGGCAGCAGGAAGGCCTGCAGCAGCTGGAGATGCAACAGGTGGGGCGGCAGCAGCTGGATCCACAACAGCTAGAACTGCTACAGCAGGGGCGGCAGCAGCTAGAAATACAGCAAGATGGCCTGCAGCAGCTGGACACACAGCAGCTGGGGCGACAGCAGGAAGGCCTGCAGCAGCTAGAAATGCAGCAGCTGGGGCGGCAGCAGGTGGTCCTGCAGCAGGTGGTCTGGAAGCAGCTGGGCTGGCAGCAGCCTTGGCCACAGCCCTCCTCAGAGCAGACAGAGCCACAAGAGTTGACCATGGTGCGAGAGGTGGAGGTTCTGGATGGGTTTACAAGAAGGTGGGTTGGAAGGTTTGGAAGTGGGAGTCTCCCTGCCCACATCCCCTTTTATACCCTGCTGAGGGGCTGCTGTCCTCACATGCGGCATCCTTTCCTTGTTATTGTTTGTGTTAATAAATAGGTGATTACCAAATTAGGCGAGTTTCTTTTCCTGGTTACATTTTCAAGGTGAATGGAAAACATGATTCCTTTCCTGGCTTATTAGGACTTATTGCCATTTCTTGCTGAACCATCTCCTAAGTGGCTTTTCTTTTCTTTTTTTTAATTTCTTCCAAGGCAGTTGTCACGTGACATTCTGTGTCCTGGTCCCACATGTTTCAGTGTCATTTTGTGGTACCTCTTCCCTTCCTGTAAGAAGTCACATTCCTACTTTCTTGTAATTACTTCTGGTGGCCCTGGCAGATACAGGTGCTTTAGACTGATGGCTCATGCTTAATAGGTCAGGTGAGCACGGAAAGACCAGTGACTTGAGAACAGGAATGCATTGGGACCAGGTTCTGCCCTTATTGGCTCTTGTTAATGGGGATGTTGTTGCAGACCTTAGCTGCCAAGAATCACAGCCCAGATGGCATCCCTTAACTGGAAGAATGACAGTGGATAGAATGCTTTATGAACAAGTTAGGAATGGCAACAGAGGCAGGGTGGTGTGTAACTAAGAAGGACCAATGAATATCAATGGAAACATTTTTGTTCCTCACAACAGAGTGGATGCACACAAAACTGGTATGACTGTGTCTTCAGAGCCCAGGCCTTCCTGCTCCGCCCCAGCTGCTGTGTGTCCAGCTGCTGTGTGTCCAGCTGCTGTGTGTCCAGCTGCTGTGTGTCCAGCTGCTGTGTGTCCAGCTGCTGCAGGTCTTCTTGCTGCACCTCCAGCTGCTGCCGCCCCACCTGCTGCTGTGTTCAAGAGTCCAGTCTAAAGAAACTAGGGCATTCTCTGTTAAGTATATTCTATGCAAGAAAGAGACTGATATGGAACCCCCAGGCAGGTGCAATCTCTTGAGAACTTTATCAGACTGGTTGTTTCTCAATGAGTTCATGTTCAGCCTGTGAAAGAGCCTGTGCTCTCAGCTTGCAATGTCTTAATGTGCTTAGGCCAAATATTGGAACGGGCACATAGAATCCTAAATAACCACACCCAGGACAGCAGTGGCTATAGAGCACTGAAAACAGGGGCACAGACACAGGGTCCACTGTTCTGTTCCCTTCCATACTGTACCATCAAGAAACAAATGAAACAATAGCGAGATGCCACCACCTCTTGAAGCCAACTTGGAAATGGCACCCTGTGAGGGTGAATCTCTACCTTCAGGATACAGTGTGTGTGTGTGTGTGTGTGTGTGTGTGTGTGTGTGTGTATCAAAACAATAAGCATTATATGCAGCTTCCTCTCCAGTAAATAAAATAAATTGACTAATGTACAGAATTTGAAACTAGGAAATGAGTGCATCAAAGTGCAAGTGAAATTACTTGGTTACATTCTCAGTGATCATTTGGGAAGATGTATCCTTTTTTACATTAATTCAGGCTCTGTGGATATTGAAGCTGATTTTCAAATGTGAGATGATCCCAAGGGACATTCATGGCTCCTTGGAATGAAAGTTGCCAATGCTACCGTCCCCCTAGATTTCAAATATCAGTGAGCCTCCTGGGAGTTGGAAGTTGGAGCACTAATGTGCAGTAGAGGTGGAAGGAACACATTAAGCATTAGGTGTCACACTGTAGTATTCTCGAAGTTCTCAGGTACAGATATGTTAACTATATATACACATAGTACAATAAGGACAGAGAAACCAAGATGTTGGAAATTTCCGGATTTGATCTTCTCTTCCTGTTACTGTAATAAAACAATCAGAAAAAGCACTGACAGAAGAGAACATCTTTTCTGGAACAGTTGATCACAGTGGGAAGCGAAGGCAGGAAGACCTTGAAGCAGCTGGTCAAATCATCTCTACAGCGAGGAGGCAGAAAACATTGAAAGGGAGGGTCCAGCTCGCTTCTTCCACTTCCTGCCATCCAGGATCCCATGCAATCAATAGTCCGGGCCAGAGGAAACACGGAATTTCCTCAAACACTAAAATAATCCTATCAGAAGATCTAGTTACAATGCTTCATACATCATGTCCAAAGGAATAAAAAATATAAGACAAGAGGGATGCCTATTTTTTCCATGTATTCTGTAACACTACTCAATATGGAATCATGAAGGAAGGCCAAACAGAGTCCATATATGAATATATAAGTTGAAACATATGGACAATGGAGAATTATTTATAAATTAAGAATATGCCCATACTATATGTAAGAAAATAAATGGAAGTGGCAATTGTCATATTAAGCAAAATCAGCCAAAGTCAGAAATGTATCAATGTTTTGTCAGATAAGTGTCACATACATACATGTTTACAATATTGCTCATGTGCACATACACACATAGACACACACCACAGAAAAAGAAAAAGCTATAAAGTGGGAAGAAAAATGCATGATAATGGTTGAGGGGAACTAAACAAGTAGGATGGGAACAGGAGTGTGTAATACGTGGGATAAATGTAAAACACTATACTCATGTATTCTGGATGCTAATTTCTACTATTATATGCTGCTAATTTCTATGAACATACAATACTATCATTACTGAAAATTAAATAGCCAAAATATTGATGACAACAAAAATAATCAAAATTGTGCAGAGAAAGTGGAGTTAATATACAAGGACATGTGTTACAAACTTACCATTTGGGGAACAGCAAATATAAAATGAATATCTATAACATGGAAAGCCCCAGAAAGTATGGAAAACATTTTCAGTGGTGTCAATATTGAGATTGGGACCATGAGCGTCTGTGGATGTATGATCACAAGAGTAGACACAATACTGAAGGTTGCAGTAGGCGAGTTCATAGGTAATAATTGGAGAACATGGTTGTGAGGAACTAGCGAGTTATTGAGGGTAGAGAGGGAAGCCAATAAAGAGAGCTATAATGAGCAGGACAGGCCTAGAGGCAGCAGCGTTCCATGTCACTAGACTTTGGGAGGATACACTTGGATTCAAAGGAAAAAAAAGCAAAAGCATTTGCTCACCCACTTTCTCAGCGCTTGGGTGTTCTGCCCCAGAGACTTCAATTCTTCTATCTAAGCTTCAGCTTCTTTCAAAGAGAGTCATTAGGGGGTGAGTTTCATGCCTGTGGACCATAAAACCACCTTTTGTATGACGAGGAAGACACAGAAGATGATAGAAAACTGGTGTTTCAGAAGTCAACTGCTAGAACCTGTTACTTGTGTAGAGAGGAAATAAAAACGTAGCTAGATGAGAACAGCAATTTGAGCAGAAGACATGATGGCTTGAAAAATCAGGTTTATTTGTTAATGGGAAACATTCCATTTTTGAGAACATGGGAAAGAACAAATTGTTCCATGGGATGAAGTGAGATTGCAAAGATTCCAGAGAAGAGTTAAACGTTTTAGAGGTAGTATCAGGCATGAGTATAGGCAGCATTATTGGTGTCCTAATTAATCCCAGTTGTATCAGGGGCTTTAGGGTAGGCCTCACAGGATTCGTCTCACAGTTGAATACAGGTTGAAGAAGAACAGGAGATTGTGGGTGAGAGTGCTCAGCAGCAGGAACCACTAGAACTAGCTCATGCTGGTGGGCAGCAGATGGTCTGGCAGTAGGTGGTCTGGCAGTAGGTGGTCTGGCAGCAGGTGGTCTGGCAGCAGGTGGCTGGCAACAGGTGGTCTGGAAGCAGGTGGTCCTGTAGCAGGTGGTCCTGTAGCAGGTGGCCTGGTAGCTGGTGGTCCAGCAGCAGATGGGCTGGCAGCAGCCTTGGTCACAGCAGGAAGCCTCAACAGGAGTTGACCTTGGTTTTACAGGTTGGAATTTCTAGAATGGCTGTGATGAAAGTGTGTTGGAAGTGGGAGTCTCCCTGCCCACATCCCCTTTTATAACTCACTGAGAGGTTGCTGTCTTCACATGCAGCATTCTTTCCTTGTCATTGTTTGTGTTGACAAATAAGTTGTAAAATTTGGCAAGTTTTTTTTACAGATTAAAAACTCAAGGAAGGTGGAAAATATGAACGTCCTACTAAGATTCATGGCGAATGCTGGGTGAACAATGTCCTAAGCAGTTCTTTTATTTAAATTTATATCCAGAATTCTCAACGGTGTTCTGTGTTATGTTACCCAAAAAAATCTCAGTGTTATTTTGGTGGCAACTCTGTCCTACTTTCAGGTAGTTGAGAACTGATCTTCTAAGCCACCCAACTTATGTCTGATTGCTTCCTATTCCCTGTAATTATAGATCCATGGGATAGGACCCTCTGACGTGAACTCACAAGGGACCAGTACTCATATGTGCATATACTTCACAAATGACACACTCTTGAATGGCAATTGCATGGGGGTACTAAAACCTCAAGAACTGCCTCAAGAGACAAAACTCCTCCAACAAGGAGAAACATCATAATCTTTTCCAAACAATTCCACAATGTAAAGTGCAAGTTTTCACATACAGGGGGTAAAAGAAGTCTCTTTCATTCAAACCATAAGAGATGACAATTAAGAAAGTGATGACCCTACTCTTCATCAAACCATAGAGATGAACTATAATATTTGAAAGATGAAGGTAATAACTCAGGAAGGAGAAAGGAAGAGACATGTAATTAGTAGGTTATGTGTATACCTATTTAAGGTGTAAAAATAATCTTTATTTTTGAAATTATGGTAAAGAACAAGAATGTGTTAGTTTACACATCTGAATCCCAATATTCAGGTATATGAGTTATGGGGGGCATTTCCTTGCAAGCCCACAGCCCTGAGATCTTCCATTTAGAAAGATGGGCTGAAAATTCTTAGAAATGCGGGCAGAGGATCATGAGTTTCTTAGTTAGGGTTGCTATTGCTGTGAAGAGACACCATGACCATGACAATTCTTACTAAAAAAAACATTGAATTTGGGTGGATCACTTACAGTTTCAGAGGTTCAGTCCATTATCGTCATGACAGAGACCATGGTGCTGTGCAGGCAGATGGTGCTGGAGCTATAGCTGAGAGTCCTACATCTTATAGGCAACAGGAAGTCACCTGACAGAAACACAGAGGGAAGGTTTAGCAAAATAAACCTCAAAACCCACCCCTACAATGACACACTTCCTCCAACAAGGCCACACCTGCTAATAGTGCCACTCCCTTTGGGGGCTATTTTCTTTCAAACCACCACAAGGAGGCAAAGTGACATGACATAAGGCTTGTAGCTGGGAATGCCTAAATCATTCAGATTTATCACAATATGTCCAATTAAAAAAGACATAGCAAGAACAAATTGTTTCCTGTGGATGATGGAACAACTCTAAAAGTACTGAGAAACATTAAGGGGTGAGGACATGGCAGAGATGGACCCCAAATGTGGGGCAGCATGTTTGTTGGAAAAACCAGTAGCAGTTGGACTTTGAGGATTGGCGAAACTGATCTACATCAGGCAGATTTGGTGATTTAGGAGTAAGAGTAGGTGAGAATGCCCAAGAGCACGAAGTATGAGGGCATGTTGGCAAGGAACAGGTGTTTCTTTTCTTTCTTTTTCTTTTTTCTTTTTGGTTTTTTGAGACAGGGTTTCTCTGTATTGTTTTGGAGGGTGTCCTGGAACTAGCTCTGTAGACCAGGCTGGCCTCGAACTCAGAGATCCTCCTGCCTCTGCCTCCCAAGTGCTGGGATTAAAGGCATGCGCCACCAATGTCCGGCTGGAACAGGTGTTTCTACTGCAGCTGTTGCTCTAACAGGAAGTCTAACAGCAGCTAGACTGGCAGAAGTTGGATCCACAACAGCAGGGTTGGCAGCAGCAAGGGAGGCAACAGGTGGTCTGGCAGCAGCATGGGCCATGACAGCACTGCATTGTGTCAGAGGGCAGAGGATCTGTCTGGGTTTGCAAGAAGGTGGGTAGGACAGATTGGACTGCTTTTTATACCCTGCTGAGGGGAACACTGTCCTTATATCCAGAGAAACACTCCTGAATCCAGAAGGTTTGCTAGTGAACTAATTAGCAAATGAGACAAGCGAGATTCACTGCCTGAGTCAATATTCAAGGAGAAGGCAAAATCATGCCTTCCTACTTGCAGTGCGTTCGGAATCAATGGCAACCGATGGCCACAGAATACTATGGGAAGTGCTTTCTGGTGCCATTTGCTTCAAAGGGAACACCAGTCACCTGATGTTCCTGTGCTCACACCCTGTTTCAGAGTTGGTTTTATAGTGTATCTTACCTTCCTTTGGAGTGTCAGATCTCACTATTCTGAAGGCTCACACATAATGTGTCAGGTGGGTACAGAGAGCCTAAATGTGAAAGGACATTGGCATGAGAACACAGAGGCCTTTAAGTCCTGGCCCTGCCCTGGACGGATGCTGTTGATGCAAATGCTGGGCAATGTAGCTCTGTTGGAATAATGCTAATGACAAGACTGTAGAGAAACCAAATCCATGTGAGACCTGGCAATTACGGGAATGCATCCCAAGCAAAGCCAGAAGATCACGATAGGCTAGGGCGTGTGACTCCCTATCTTAATTTCCCCACCGATGTGAATGACATAATGTCTGGCTTACAGATATTCAGTATGCTGTGTAAAGTGTGGAAAAAGAAGTTTAAAATAAAGCCTTTAAAGTCTTTGGTCAATGGGTGGTAGAGACCTATGTAGAGCATGTTCCTCCTGCACAACTATAAACTGTCTGGCTCCTCTCAGGGCTGCCCCACATTGCCTCCAGTTCCTCTAGGTAAATTTCAATTCATTGGAACCTTAAGCTTCAAACACCTAAAGAACGATGTAGAAAAATAATGACCATGAGCTCATGGCTTCCTAAGAGAATCTGTAGAGACCCCTGTGAGGTGCACTGGATGAGGAAGAGAGGGCACATGAATCTGATAAGAGAATATGAAGATTGCCCTAGCTCTGTTATGCCAAACAGTCTAGCCTAGGAGATGACACTGTGCCTGTGGAGAGCAGAATACCAAGAAAGACAGATGTGAGTGATCAGTGAGTAGCCCAAGGCAGTCACAACTGAGGGAGAGTGTGGGGGGGCACAAATGGATTCAACTGGAAGGAAAGAAAAGTGGGTGCACCTTCTACAATTCTCATAGCTTAAGGTCCACTTCTTAAAAGCTTCATCTCTCCTCCCTGAATTTTCCCTCTATACAAGGAAGAAATGCAGGTGCTCCATTTCCAATTTGCACAGTTTGAGTACCATATCCTACTAGCTTCATCTCTCCTCCCTAAATTTCCTTCTATGGTCAGCAAGTAGGATTAAAGGGGTTCTTGTGTGCTTGGCCCTCAAATTATCCTCTTCCAGTAGGAAGAGACATAAAGGGACATCTGGGGACTCAAGTACTTTCCTACTCGAGATATGAGATTTCATTACCAGAGAACCAAATGGAAAAATGGGTATATTGCCACTCAGAGTTTCAGAGGACTGGAAGGCAAATACCTCATGGTAGTGGAAATGGATGCAGGCAACTGAGAACAACTCTGGAGCAAGAGCTCAGACCACACACCTGGGGCCACCACAAAGAGGCAGAGAGAAATGCGAGAGAGTCTAGGGAGAACATGAAATCTCAAATCTGACCCCAGAGAGACACCTGGTGAGCAGGCCTCCACTTCCTAATAATTCCCATACAGCTACCACGGGAGATATAGGCTTCCCATATACCTCTGCTTAGGGAGCACTGCTTGTTCAAAACAAGATGAGTGGTAATATTGAAGACTGATATGGTCAGTCTATTCATGGCAGAGACAAGACTTTGCTGTTGTGTTGGGGGAAGTCCTATGTATATGTCAATAAAGCACTGCTGGCCAATAGGAATCTAGATAGGTGGGACTAGGAGTCCAGCAGGACTCTGGGAAGGAGAAACACAGGAGTCGAGATGTAACGCCATGGGGTAGGAAGCCCGGAAACTTCTCCGGTAAGAGACATACTTAGATTAACAATTATGGGGTAATTACTTAAGTCAGAGCTAGCCAGTAAGAAACAAGCAAGGCCAACAGCTTCATAATTAATATGGCCTCCTGTGTGTTTATTTGGGACTGATGCGGCTCTAGAACCTGTTCACAGATTAGGGCAGCTCCCAGCTCTCATCAGAGAAGAGCCTTTGTGAAGTTAACAGTGGTCAACACAGAAACATAGAACTAGTCATAATGCAGAGAATACTGAGTGTGGACTATTTACTTACACTAACGTTTTCCCTTATGATTAAAGACAGTTGGAGAACATTTTACATAAATGCAAGCTCTGACAAGAGAACCTACACAATATTTTTCAGATGTTAAAATGTTACCTACAGGACAAGCAGAACAGACTTCAGATAAGTCTAACCTGAGAACCTTTCCCTGTATACCTCTTAGTGGCTTAAAAGTTTACTGACACTAACTCCTTGGCATCTGTCATTTATGCCCCTCCGTTGTGTGACCAACTGGGACAAATCTGACCCTTAGCAACAAGTGACAGTAGAGGGGTAACCTCCAGATGACTTTAGAGAACACTGTTGAGAGATTCAGAGATGGGGTAGAGGTGACTCAATTAAAGGGAAGAGCACAAGTTCATCCAAGGGGAAAAGAGCATTACTCACTCACCCTCCCACTGCTCATGTGTTCTGAGTAGAATTCTTAAATACTCTCCTACTAAAGCCTCCTCTTTGTCAGAGAAAATCATCAAGAAGTGAGTTGCATGAGCATGGTCTATGAAACCATCTTTCTGTATTGGGAGGAGAAGGCAGAGGAAGCAGTGTGGGCATGCTAGAAATCACCTGCTCTAGTTCCTTTGCTATTTGGAGATGAGCTAACTAGAATTTTAGAGGTGAGGGACAACAATTTGAGAAAGAGAAACAAAGAAACGTGACTTTTTTATTTGTTCAAATGCAAATTTTTAAATTTATTTAACATGTAAGAAAATCTCCATTTTAAAAATATGACAGACAACAAGGATTTCTATAGGGTTAAGGTCAGAGTTTACAGATTCCAGACAGAACACAAACTTGTTTACATGCTATAAAGGGATACTCTGCAGGGAGCAGCAGTGAAAGGTTATTTGGAGAATAAAAGCATTATCAGTTAGAACAGAGAATATGCAATGGGCCTCTCAGGATCAGATCACGGGTGGTCCATGTCAGGAATGCTGGGAGGAGACACTGGGTGAGAGCTCTCAGCAGCAGGAACCACTAGAGCATGCTGGGCGGCAGCAGGTGGTCTGGCAGCAGGTGGGGCGGCAGCAGCTGGAGATGCAGCACTGGGGTCTGCAGCAGCTGGACACACAGCAACTAGGGCGACAGCAGGAAGGCCTGCAGCAGCTAGAGATGCAACAGGTGGGGCGGCAGCAGGAAGGCCTGCAACAGCTGGAAATGCAACAGGTGGGGCGGCAGCAGCTGGATCCACAACAGCTAGAACTGCCACAGCAGGGGCGGCAGCAGCTGGAGATGCAGCACTGGGGTCTGCAACAGCTGGACACACAGCAACTAGGGCGAGAGCAGGAAGGCCTGCAGCAGCTAGAAATGCAGCAGCTGGGGCGACAGCAGGTGGGCTGGCAGCACACAGACTGGCAGCAGCTGGGCCTGCAGCAGCTGGGTCTGCAGCAGCTGGACACACAGCAGCTGGGGCGGCAGCAGGTGGTCCTGCAGCAGGTGGTCTGGCAGCAGCTGGGCTGGCAGCAGCCTTGGCCACAGCCCTCCTCAGAGCAGACAGAGCCACAAGAGTTGACCATGGTGCGAGAGGTGGAGGTTCTGGAAGGGTTTACAAGAAGGTGGGTTGGAAGGTTTGGAAGTGGGAGTCTCCCTGCCCACATCCCCTTTTATACCCTGCTGAGGGGCTGCTGTCCTCACATGTGGCATCCTTTCCTTGTTATTGTTTGTGTTAATAAATAGATGATTACCAAATTAGGCGAGTTTCTTCTCCTGGCTAAATTATCAAGATAGAGGAAAACAGTTTCTTTTCCTGGTGTTGGGATTCATCATCAGTTCTTGAAACATTTCCTAAGAGTCTTTCTTGCCTTAATTTCTTCCACACAATTGTCACGTGATGTTGTGTGTCCAGTCATTGCATGGTTCAGCATCACGGTGGGTGGCTGTACTGCCTACCTTTAGATAATCATGAGTTTTAAAGACCCATAATTGTTTCTGGTGAGCCAGGAGGATAAAAGTTTATTATACCAATGGCTCATCCACAATGGCCTAGGTGAGCACTGACAAACATAGTCACCTCAAATGCCTCACAAAGCTCAGGTTTCTCAGTTCTGGCCTGCAGGATTATTTCCCTTCTTGGCCAACCGTCTTTCTGGCTTAACAGAACATATGCAGCCATACCCTGCCTTTCCCCACGATTTACCTTGCAGCGCCATTTGATAATCAAATCATATTGCCACTTATTCTAATTTAAACCTGAATGCCCTGCTCGCGGCTGGATTTCTGAGTAGGAGATTCTTCTGTTTCCTGTTTCAAGTGATGGATTAGACCCCCCCCCTTAATGTTCATTTTAAATGTCTCTCTATATAGACACCTGTGTGTTTTTTGATTATATATTACATATACTTACATATGTGATACATGTATGTATACATCACATGTGTAAATATGTGATGTGTGCATGTATATATCACACAAGGAAGTAAAAGGAGATTGATCTGTACCTATTTTGGTACACATTAAATACTTAAAGGGAACAAAGCACCCATCCAGTTACCTTCGTGATTAATGTTTTAAATATGCACAATGCTTCAGTCCCTTTGTTGTCCTCGGTCAGCTGAGAAACAGACAGGGGATAACTGTGTGATCACATCATTAAATTTCTTAATTAGGGCCATTCAGTGGCCAAGCCTTTTGCAGTATTCTTATGAAATTAATCTGTTCAGCAAACACTTAGTCTACAGGCTTTTCCCCATTAGGCTCATATTTGTAAAGCTTGAAAAGATGGAGGATTTAAATAATTCTATGTCCAGAGAGAGAGTTTCCTCTGGATTGCTGCAGTACCAAGGACACCTCTGCTTCCACATGTGTCTTGATTACTAGAGGAGTTGTGGAGCCCAATCCTACCTGACACATCTACAACACAACTCTTAATGCACTCTGTGCCTAAGGCTCAGGGATCATTGCTGCAAAGGGGGTGGAAAGACTGGTACTGCCAGAGCATCAGGGAGTTTGCTGTGAGACTGAGTCTCCTGGGAATGCCAGTAGCCCCACCCGTAGAGTCTCAACAACATGGCTGCCTAAACATGAACTGCCCAAGGCTGACACAAGTAGATATGTTATGAGGATGGGGGAAAGCTCATGAGGCCTCAACCCTACTCAAAGAACTACAGGCAACTAAGGAACACTCAGAGTGGGAGAAAGAGTCTTCCCGCGTGGAAGAACCTATCAGTTGGTTATCTATACCATGTGGCCATCTCTGAAAAACATACATACACGTAATATTACACAGACTGAACAGGCTGTATTTCTGTATTTAGGAATTTATATGTACACCACAAACACACACACACACACACACACACACACACACAAAGGGGAAAATGATATAATTATATTATAATCTCAATAAAAATAATTTTTAAAAAGAAATGCCTTTTGGTACAAGAATGGCTGAGCACCACCCAAGGTACTAGGCTCAAAGCCACAACACGAAATAAATAAAATGAGACTTCTTTCCTTCTTAAATAGGCAGAGTACATTCTCTAAACCAGTGGTTGTCATGACTGGCTTCACAGGAGAATAGCCCACAGAGCATGACAAACTGTCAACTCCTGGCCCATGCCCTGGACAGTCTTCTTCTAACTGGTCTGAGCATCAGCAATTTGTAGAAGTCCACAGATGACCCCAGGGAGCCTCCAGACTTGAAAGTCCCTCACTAGCTGCCCACATTACCTGTGTTTGTGTCCCTTGTAATATTCAGCATTAACTTTAAACACTGTAGAATCATATAATGTTAAGTCTCTGTATTATCATAGGCCAGTCTCATACCAGTTGAGACACAGACTCATGTTAATCAGAACAGGCCAGTAGAGAACTGAGTCCAATGACTGGATTCTTTTTAAAAGAAGAAACCACCAAACAGAGGATTCATTACTATATGCCTTTTGTTAAAATTTATCTTCTATGAAACAAAATGGATAATTAACACGGGACTAGATATGCAAAGCATGTGACAGCTATCTGCCTATCCTTTGTCTGTTATACACAGCTCAGTTTCCTAAACTCAGAGTTGTGACATATGGGGTCACATAACTGAATATGGGGTTCATTGGGTAAACAAACCACTCCCAAGGGTTGGTCCTGTGCCTAGCAGTAGATGGCCAACACTAAACAAACTCAAAAGAATGTTTGGAAGTTCCTTTGTCTGGGCAATAGTTTCATTCATACGTTTCTTTCTTTCTTTTCTTCCCTTACAGGTCTTTGACATATATAATATGGCTTCCAGAGGTGTGTTTCTATGGGATTTTAATGTTCAAATGTGTGTGTCTCTCCATCTGTATATGTTCCTTGTGCCTTTTCTGTGACTGTTTTCTCTTGTTTGAATGTTTGCAGCATTCTACTCCAGTTTGTTTGCTTTTTTATTTTATCTGTATTGTTTTTAAATGCCTGTTTGTAGTCTAATGAGAGAAAGAAAGGGTGTGGATTTTGATTGGTGGGGCTTTGGGAATGGATGATCTGGGAGGAGTTGGGGAAGCAGAAACTGTTGTGAGACCACATTGCATGAAAAAGATACCTATTTTCACTTAATATTCCTGCTTCAGTTTCTGCTTTTAGTGGCTGTTAGCATAACCCACTTAAAAGTCTGAGTGCTACAATATTAATCTGACTTTATTATAGCTTGTTAGTGAAAGCATCCTGTAGCCCAAGCTATTGACTTGCTCACATTCAGTGAAGTGACATCTCCTAACAGCTTAGATACAAACTTCCCTGATACAGATACTTGCTATCTGTGACCATTTCTCCCAACAGTTGGCTACAGATAAGAAGTGCTGATACACAATAGAAAAACAAAACCAAACAAAGCAAAAAAATTGTCTTTCCACTCAAGACCTCTTTGTCTATCCCTGACATTTCATTCCTTCCTTCCTCCCTCCCTTTCTTCCTTCCTTCCTTCCTCCCTTCCTTCCTCCCTCCCTTCCTTCCTTCCTTCCTTCCTTCCCTCCTTTGTCTCCCTTCCTATCTTTCTTTCTTTCCTCCTTTCTTTCTTTCTTTCCTTCTTTCTAACAAATTTTAGGGCTGTTTTACAAACATCGAAGGAATGCTTCATTGAATTTTAAGGAAATGCATAGAATTTTAGATGGGACTTGGTATTTTATTTGGATAGGAAGATAGTGGAATTTTGCTGATGGAATTGACGTACTGGTGTCTGTCTCATTGAGTTAGTTGTTGGAGGCATCACACACAGCCTCTAAGTACCCTGTATAGGTGTGACAACAGTAATAGGACAGTACTGACATAGAAATAGATGGGTGTGCAGATCTATGGAACATAACAGCAGATCCAGAAACAAACCCATGCACTGAGGCCTTCCAAGTGTTCATAAAGTTGCTATGAACATGTTTTGGGGGTTAGGGCCTCTTTAGCAACTTGTGTTTGGAAAACAGGTTATCCACATAGAGAACTGAAAGGGAATGTTTGCCTGAATGAGTGAGCCAGGGCTTGTGTCACCCAACCCCTCTCACTGGCTGGACTCTGTGCCTAAGGGCTTTAATTCTCCCGTCTAATGCTGCTTCTTCAGCCAGAGAAAGTTCCATGTTGTTCTACAAGACATCTGTCTGTATTGGAGGAGGAATGTCACGGGGAGGGATTTGGCATGTGCTGTCTTTGTACATAGAAATCTTTGTTCTTCAGAATTTGATAGATGCATTTAAAAATCCCATAGGAGAAATAAGTAGACATGATACATATGGTATGCCTGCAAAATCCAGATTTATTTAAAATGTAAGAGACTCTCCATTTTTAAGAATGTGGTGAAGAACAAAATTTTCCATGGTTATAAGGTCAAACTTACAGTTGTCAGAAAAAATTAAATTTATGGTCACTTTAGAGAAAGAAAATAGACAGGAAGGAGTAGGGACAGTACATTTGGAGGCCAAAATCGTTATCAGTTGGAACAGAGGCTTTACAATGGGCCTCTCAGGATCAGCGCACAGGAGGTCTACATCAGCATTGCTGGGTGATGACGAACAGGAGGCTGTGGGTGAGAGATCTCAGCAGCAGGAACCACTAGAGCATGCTGGGCGGCAGCAGGTGGTTTGGCAACAGGTGGGGCGGCAGCAGCTGGAGATGCAGCACTGGGGTCTGCAGCAGCTGGACACACAGCAGCTGGGGCGCCAGCAGGAAGGCCTGCAGCAGCTGGAAATGCAACAGGTGGGGCGGCAGCAGGAAGGCCTGCAGCAGCTGGAAATGCAACAGGTGGGGCGGCAGCAGCTGGATCCACAACAGCTAGAACTGCCACAGCAGGGGCGGCAGCAGCTGGAGATGCAGCAAGAGGGTCTGCAACAGCTGGACACACAGCAACTAGGGCGACAGCAGGAAGGCCTGCAGCAGCTAGAAATGCAACAGCTGGGACGACAGCAGGTGGGCTGGCAGCACACAGACTGGCAGCAGCTGGGCCTGCAGCAGCTGGGTCTGCAGCAGCTGGACACACAGCAGCTGGGGCGGCAGCAGGTGGTCCTGCAGCAGGTGGTCTGGCAGCAGCTGGGCTGGCAGCAGCCTTGGCCACAGCCCTCCTCAGAGCAGACAGAGGCACAAGAGTTGACCATGGTGTGAGAGGTGGAGGTTCTGGAAGGGTTTACAAGAAGGTGGGTTGGAAGGTTTGGAAGTGGGAGTCTCTCTGCCCACATCCCCTTTTATACCCTGCTGAGGGGCTGCTGTCCTCACATGCGGCATCCTTTCCTTGTTATTGTTTGTGTTAATAAATAGGTGATTATCAAATTAGGCGAGTTTCTTCTCCTCGTTACATTTTGAAGTGAGATGGAAAACACAGCTTCATTTCCTGGTATGAAGATTCATCATCAGCTCCTTTGAACGATTGCCCACGTGTCTTTTTTGCTTTTGTTTCTTTCAAGCATCTCTCACATGACATTGTGTGTCTAGGCACTGTGTGGTTTAGTCTCATGGTGGGTGTCCTGTTGCCCACCCTTCAATAATCATTGTTATTACAGACCCATAATTGTTTCTGGTGATCTAGGAGGATGAAACATTTTTATGCCTATGCCTATGGCTCGTCCATATTGGGTCAGGTTGGCCCAGAACATTTGACCACAAAAAACAAATCCCATTGGTATGACAATAGGAAGCCTAGTAAGTCACATCCCCTGCCCCATGTGGAGCACAGTTCAGTTCATAGATTGTTTTTCAGTGAGAAACACAGAACAAACTTAGGTAGAAAGCTAAATGATTTTTTTCATAAACAAAACTCTAACAGTTTTAGTACCTCTTACAGGAAATGGGCTTCAGCTCAGCTCTATCTCAAAATCTTGGTGTCTTCATTCTATCACGTGTGCTTCCTTTCCTTCCGTCTCTGGTAGCCCATCCTGACCCAGGCTGTTGCTTTTCTCAGATGTCCTTCAGAACTTCAGTTAGATGAGTAACTTCCTGCCTCTTGCTCTCTTTGGCCCTGGACCTTCGGTGACTGTGGAGGTCCTCACCCCATAAATGTCTCACCTGTGTCTCTACAAGGGTAAGTGGATTAGGCTTCATCCTTCAAGTCCTCCTTTGAAAAATGTAAAAAGAATGAGTAATTTTAAAAAGTAGATATCTCCATGAAGGGATATCAGTCTACATTTATTTATAGTAGGGACACATTAGTTGTTTAAAGGGTGCAAACATCCTGCCCAAGTGGCCAGGTGACTAGGGTTTCTAAAAATGAGGGATGCTACCAGTCCATTATTAATGGTCTGCTGGTATAAAAAGAAACAGGCAGAGACTTGCTGCAGCTATGTGATGACATCATTAAATGTCTTAATTAGGACCACTTAATGACCAAGTGCATTGGAAGACTTTTATCACACTTACTTGCTTAGCAAACATTTGTTTTACTTGTATTTTTATTGACTTGTAGTCATGTATTTGATAATATGTAGTTTAAACAATAGTACACATGGGAGGTTTGTTGTGGTTGTTGGAGTCACTATTATAAGAGGGACCAAGGAAGAAATAAAGGTATTTGATAAAGACTGTGTTTATCAGTAAGAAAATTTCTATTTCTATTTAACAGGATTAGGAAATACCTTTTTGGGGGGAACCTGCATAAGACCGAACTAGACTCCCTTAATATAGGTGACAATGGTGTTGCTGGGACAATATATGAGGCCAGTGGCAGTGGGTCCAAGACCTAACACTAATGCACAAACTGACTTAGTGGAGCCCATTCTATATGGAGAGATACCTTGCTCAGCCTAGACACAGATGTGGAGGGTGGGAGTGGAGAGGTGCCTTGGTCCTACCTCAACAAGATGATGGGACAGGCTTAGTAGACTTCCTATGGGAGGCCTTACCCTCTCTGAGGAGCAGATGGGAGGTGGAGGAGGAGTGAGAGGAGTGGGAGGAGAAGAGGGAGGGGGAACTGAGATTGGAATGTAAAAAATAAATTAATAATTCAAAAAATTAAAGAAAAAAGAAAGCCCTTTCCCTGTAGAAAAACACAAAAAAACAAACAACAACAACAAAAACAAAAATACCCAAATGAATTCTCACTGCAGCTCAGTGTACACAGAATCACAAACCTACAGCCAGCACAGTTCTTAGTGGCTGCAAGATGGAACCCCCAGGGGGAAATACAAGTAACAGTGTCTGGTTCCTCTGTAGAAGGTTTTTCATTTAAGAGTCATGGGCTTCGTGTCCATATTTTGTGGTGCTCCTCAGATTATCCCAATGGACAGTGCAATCTGAGATAATCTTGTTAAATTGTCTGCATGGCAAATAATAATAATAAAATTTCAATAGTGATTATTTATGTAATAGAAAACAAGTTTGTGATTTAGAACCACTGATTGCTCTAATACTCACAGTACCTGAATGACATCAACTAGAATGGAACAACAGAGAATCAAGGTTGGTTTGAATCACTGTCTGGAGCACTGTTTCCTATGTACCTCTTCTTGGCCATGTGTAGCTATTGACTTCAGGTTGGGGGGGCAACTATTACGAAAAACTCCAAAGTTTATTCACAGTTCCCACACAGCTCCATGAGTTATAGTACTCTATGCTGTCTAACATTCTCAATTGCTTTTATATAACTTCTCTTAGCCATGATGTTACCTCAGTGCATGTCACTGACAAACACAATTTAATTACATAGTAAGTTTGCAGATATTGTACAAAGATAAAATTTATCACACATGTATATTTTTACTCCTTTGCTAAATACCCTGTACTAGCTAGAGCAGACAACTTTGAAGTTGGCCACTGATTGTTGTCATCTTTGTAGTATTCAAGTTGTATGTAATTCCTTGTCCTCAGACCACTTGCTTCTAACCACAGCAGCACTCAGTGATGAAGTGACAGGAGATTGTGCCTCTCCTCTTAGCCAGATGCGTCACCCAGGTTCTTCCCTCATCATTGCTTGTTTGTTTGTTGTTTTGTTTTTGATGAACCCATGCCAAGTGGGATTCATATGGCAAAAAACAAACAAAATAAACTGAGAACAGCCTGAGTCCAATACCTTGCAATCACTGAGTCTCTCACTTCAGCTGCTTCAAAAGACCAAACACTCTCAGCCACCACAGAAGTGATCATAGAATCAGGTTCTACTGGGTTGTCTCCTCACAGGTGACCCCAGTGCCAGCTGACACCTTCCATGAAACCTTGTAATACACTAGGAAGCCTGGCTGCACCTAATTCATGGTACACAGAAACTGTGGGATAATGAATGTGTGATGGTTTTGTTGCTACATTTTGAGGAGGAAATGTAACAGACACAGATTACTACTCCATATTTATCTGGTCTCATACAACTCATAGAAAGGGGAGGAAGGGTTAAAACTCTACAGAGAAACAGATATGTTGGAGTAGATGTATTCATAAAATCCCATGACCCAGTAGGTTGTTTCCTGGATGGCATGGAGACTCTGTTAACTAAGGTGATATGGGAAAAGCAGGCAGAGGTGTGAACAGCATCACAGAGAAACTCAGTAGAGCCATGTCAATAAAATTAGATCTTTGATAGCAAATATTACAAAATGCTATAGCTCTACAGGGAAAAAAGGGATAGGATCACAGACAGCCCAGATGAACCTTGTAACTATCAGAGTGAATGTTGGACAGTGTAGAGTACTGTAACTCATGGGGTTGTGTGGGAACTATGAAGAAACTTTGGAGTTTTTCATAATTCAAATATGTTGTGGAACATTGGTTTAACAGGACAAACATGTGTTACATTTGTTTATGCTGCATTTGTTTAACAATGTAAATATGCGTTGCTTTGTTTGTCTAAGGCACTTGATTGATTTAATAAGCTGAATGGCCAATAGCTAGGCAGAAGAGGTATAGGTGGGGTTTGTGGGCAGAGAGAATAAGGAGGAAGAGGAATCTAGGCTCAAGGGAGGGGAGAGAAGAGAATGAGGGAGAAAAAGAGGGAGATGCTGTGGACCAGGCAGCCAGGCAGCTGCCACCCAGCCAGACAAAAAGTAGGACATACAGAATGAAAGAAAGGTAAAAATCCAGGAGGGAAAATGTAGATGAAAAGAAACAGGTTGATTTAAGTTATAAGAGCTAGAGGGACAGGCATAAGATAAGGCTGAGCATTGGTAAGTCATATTGTCTCCGTGTCATGACTTGGGGGATGGCTGATGTCCCAAAAGAAAGTCTGCTACACAAAATTGACATGACCATAGATATAGGTTCTGTAGTTCAGTGTGTATATGTAACTAAACCTATTTATCTTTTAAGAGAGTCTAAATGATAAATGAGTAAGGATATATGTTGAAATATATTGTTTGATTGGAAGAATATGAGTCTTCTTCTGTATTCTAATTCTGATATATTTCTCAAATCTCTAGATCATCATTTGAAACAGGATCTTTCAGACTAAAGGACCATAGCAAATACATACATATATACATACATACATACATACATACATACATACATATATGTGTATATGTATATACATGTGTATTTCAATATATGTATATTCATCAGTAATTTCTTTAGTACTTTCCTGCAAGTATATATGGTTATCTATACAGAGGAAATTTGGATGTCCATGTATTTGGATGATGTTGGATAGAGAATGAGAAGTGACACTGGCAGCTAGGTATGAAAATGCCTATATGGTTTCCGTTAGAATGTATCAGTGACAGTAGGAAAATATATGTCTTGCTTCGGGTCACTTTTGAGATTGTTTCATGGGGTCCCAGACATACCTGTCATGAAACACAGGTAACCTGAGCTATAAAGTAAATGCTACTAAATCATAAACTGTATGTGAAACCATTGGTTACTGCTCTCTCCCTATTCTTATCCCCATTACCAGTTACCTAGTGTGATAATGGTTAATCTTGGTTGTCTGTTTGGCTAGATTTGAAATCAACTATAAGACAAACCTCTGGAAACATGTGGGGTGGGAAGGAATACATTGAATGTTAGATGATCTACTGGAGCAGGTCTGGTATTTTTAGTTGTAATTCCAACTAAATCGAGAGAAATACAGTAGAGAAATACAATAGCTACAGTCCAATAAGGACATAGTAAGCAATCCCTCAGAAGTCTCAGGTTGAAACTTTGGTAGCTCTGTAAGACAAGTTGCATAATGCAGCAGGTATCTACTAATCAGTACTCCTAAGACAACTTCCTGCAGCAAGTTTAACTAATGAGTTGGTGAATATAGAACAAGAGCAGTAGACGTGTGAAGTAGGAGGCAGGGCGCTCTATTCATCCTTGAGCTAACATCAGTACATAATACAGGTGACTCAGTGTTCACCTGTCTTGTTTCTCACACGGTTGGACTTAGCTACAGATCCCACTCACCTGGAGGTGTCTGCCGCTCTGCCATGTATGTAGTGAAAGCTTTGAACCATAAACCTCAACACAACATCTTTAGCATGAAAGTTCTTTACCATAAATATGCTGGTTTCAAAAAAAAGTAAACAGTGCTTCTACTCTTGCTTAAGATTGTACTGACTGTTCCTAGTGTTTTGTGCTTTCACATGAAATTTATGATTGTTTTTTCAGTTCCAAGAAAGATGTCATTGGATCTGTGGTAGGAATTGCACTGACAGTTTAGCTAGACTTGGACAATATGGCCATTGTCTCAGAACTCTGCCAGTCCATGAACATGGTATGCCTTTTCAGATTTAATGTGTTCCTTAGTCTTTTTTCTTCAGTATTTCATAATTTTTCACTATATAGATCTATTCCATCTTAGATTTATTCTAGGTATTCTATTTTGTGTGACAGGAGCTATTGTGACTAGAATTATTTTCCTGATTTCATTCTCATTAAATTTGTTGGTGGAATCACAATAGTGGGTATTATAGAGCCAATAAAACTAGCATAATGGCACAGTATAAAACTAGCATGATAATGGCACAGTACAAGACACATAGAGACACCAACACAATAGAGTATGGAACAATATAGAAAACTGAAATTTGATCCCTACCCATCTTCCTTAAAAAGTAAGTCCCTCAACAGGAGTGTATAAGGGGAACACTCCTCCACTGTTGTTGAGTGTGCCAACTTTTCAGCTACTTTGAAGATCAGTATGGAGATTCCTCAGAAAAATGGAATTCAGTCTACCACAAGATCCAGCAATTTCACTCTTAGGTATATACCCAAAAGATGCACATTCATACAATAAGGACGTCTGTTCAACTATGTTCATAGCAGCACTATTTGTAATAGCCAGAACCTGGAAGCAACCCAGATGCCACTCAACTGAAGAGTGGATAGAGAAAATGTGATACATTTACACAATGGAGTATTACTCAGCGGAAAAATAAAAAACAATGGTATCTTGTAATTCACAGGCAAATGAATGGTACTAGAAGAAACCATTCTGAGTGAAGTAACCCAGTCACAAAAAGACAAACATGTATGTGCTCACTCATATATGGATTTTAAACATAGAGCAGGGGATTGCCAGCTTACTGCCAGAGAGTCTGGGAAACAGGGAGGACCATTAGAGAGATATGCATGGTATCCCAGAGAAGGGGAATGGGATGGGATCTCCTGAGGGGATTGGAAACATGGGGTGAGAGGAAGGAAAAGGAAGAATGGAGAAAGAGAGGAGAGAAGGACTTGGGGGAGCAGGAGGTTGAGTTAAGGAGCCACTACAGGTTTGAAAAGAGATGGGGCACTAGGGAGATTTCAGAGATCTACAAGGATGACACCAACTGGTAAACTAACCAATATTGGAGAGGCTGCCTTAAATGCCCTCCCCCCAATAATGAGATTGATGACTACCTTATATGCCATCCTAGAGCCTTCATCCAGTGACTGATGGAAGCAGAGGCAGACACCTACAGCTAAATACAGAACTGAACTTCTGGAAACCAGTTGTAGAGAGGGAGGAGTGATGAACAAAGGAGTCAAGACTTGGCTGGTGAAACCCGCAGAGGCAGCTGACCTGAACAAGGGAGGAGCCCTTGGACCACAGACTGGTGACTAAAAGGTCAGCATGGAACTGACCAAGACCCCCTGAACATGGATGTTAGTGAGGAGGTCTTGGCAATCTATGGGGCCTTGGATAGTAGACCAGTATTTAACTCTGGCGTACAAATTGACTTTGGGAGCCCATTCCACATGGAGAGATGCTGTCTCAGCCTGGACACATGGGGGAGGGCCTAGGCCCTGCCTGGGATAATATGACAGACAGATTCCCATGGAGGGAATCTTCACCCTCTCTGGGGAGTGGAGGGGGAATGGAGTGGGGGGTTGAGGGGGTTGGGGGGACAAGGGAGGAGGGGAGGGTGAAAGAGCTGGGATTGTCATGTCAAGTAAGCTTGTTTCTAATTTAAATAAAATTAAAAAAAATAAAAAAGAACAGCATTGACTGGGTTTAATTGGCTCTGTGTGTGTGTGTGTGTGTGTGTGTGTGTGTGTGTGTATGTATGTGTGTGTGTGAAACAGTAATAATTATAGAGGGGGTTCTGAACTTGAGAAGGAGTTGGTGGCATAAGAGGAGTGGGGGGAAAGGGAGGGGTAGAAATGATATAAATACAGTACTCATACATGAAATTTCAAAAATGTTTAAATAAAAAATTTATTCAAATCTCCAATTCCCTTCAGCTTTGTTGACTGCAACACACTTTTTTTTTCTCTTGGGCTGGTTCCACTCCCTGTTAGCAGTTTTCCTGGGTAGGTATTCCATAACTGGCATCTCCAGCATCTTAGATTTTCCAAGGCAATTCAGGCTTTAACTTAATACAATGGTCTCTCTACTTGGCCTCCATTCAGGGGCATGCCTGACACATGCCTGGCCTTAGTAGCTTTATTTAGGTACAGAGGCTAATTTCATAACCCATTTCTTCTATCTTTAACTCTAAAGCCAGAACCATGTAAATGAAGCTGCCATGTTCTGCGGCTTACTGGGGCTGGACATGGCCCCCTTGTTAAATTACATCTTCACCAGCTTTCTGTCTTTCACCACCTAAGCATGGCTGTCCTGAAACTGTATCTCTAGACCAGGTTGGCCTCAAACTCAAAGATCCACCAGCCTCTGCTTTCTCAGTGCTGGGATTAAAGCTGCTCCCCACTATACTTGGCTCTAAGCTTTTCTTTAGTTCCTTTTCACAAGTTAGAAGCTTAGCTGGGTCAGATCTTGTCCTGAGGTCATCACTCACTTCATTCCATTTCTTAATCTGTTTATCTCATTGAACACAGAATTTAGCTCCATTTCACTTTCTGGTGCTCTTTTTCTCCTCAAATATTTTTCCTGCTCAGCTTGCTTCTTTTCATTATATGTCTTCATTAAGTTAACATTAATAATCATGCAACAGAGTCTATACTAAAATGTTTCGACGTTTTCTCTGCCAACACAATTAATCCAAAATTCTTTACTTTAATCTGAGGCAGACTCTTCAGACAAGGGCAAAAATCAGCCACTTTCTTCACCAAAATACTACAAGAATCATCCCTAGGCAACATACTAAAATTCTTCTCCTCTGACACCCAGGCCCTCAGTAACACCACAGTGACACACTTCCTCTTTGAAGGAAGTGGGGGAGAGCATGTGATCACAACTGCATTTCCTTGCTTGAACTCTGTGCTCAGACCACTCTTCAATTAGAGGTGGTGTGCTTGCATGCTTGCCCAATGAGATCTTCTTCCTATATAGAAAGATGGATGCAGGGGGAAATACAGCAGACACACCTGCCATCATCTGCTGTGATAATGGCATTGTTAGAAATGAGCTAATATACTGGCAAATGAGGATGACAATTGAAGGAGGAAAGAGGAGACATATGAACACTGATGTGCTTGCAAAACTAAGGTTTATTTAATACAGGGGAGAAAGTTATTTCTGAAAACGGAGAAGAGAAAAAAAAAGAATGTAAGGATAAGTTTACAGATTTCACAGAAAAATCAAACTTTTGTTCATTTGACAGAAACACAGGTACAGTATTTGGAAGGTAAGACACAATGTGTTAAGACAGAGGCTTTACAATTGCCTCTGTGATGCAGCTCACACATGGGCTACATCAGGAATGCTGGATAATGAAGAATAGGAGACTGGGTGAGAGCTCAGCAGCAGGAACCACTAGAGCATGCTGGGCGGCAGCAGGTGGTCTGGCAACAGGTGGGGCGGCAGCAGCTGGAGATGCAGCACTGGGGTCTGCAGCAGCTGGACACACAGCAGCTGGGGCGGCAGCATGTGGGCCTGCAGCAGCTGGAAATGCAACAGCTGGGGCGGCAGCAGGAAGGTCTGCAGCAGCTGGAGATGCAGCACTGGGGTCTGCAGCAGCTGGACACACAGCAAATAGGGCGACCGCAGGAAGGCCTGCAGCAACTAGAAATGCAGCATCTGGGACGGCAGCAGCTGGATCCACAGCAGCTAGAACTGCTACAGCAGGGGTGGCAGCAGCTAGAAATGCAGCAGCTGGGCCGGCAGCAGCTGGACACGCAGCAGCTGGGGCGGCAGCAGCTGGACACACAGCAGCTGGGCCTGCAGCAGGTGGTCTGGCAGCAGCTGGGCTGGCAGCAGGTGGTCCTGCAGCAGGTGGTCTGGAAGCAGCTGGGCTGGCAGCAGCCTTGGCTACAGCCCTCCTCAGAGCAGACAGAGCCACAAGAGTTGACCATGGTGTGAGAGGTGGAGGTTCTGGATGGGTTTACAAGAAGGTGGGTTGGAAGGTTTGGAAGTGGGAGTCTCCCTGCCCACATCCCCTTTTATACCCTGCTGAGGGGCTGCTGTCCTCACATGCAGCATTCTTTCCTTGTTATTGTTTGTGTTAATAAATAGGTGATTATCAAATTAGGTGAGTTATTTTTCCTGGTTAAATTATCAAGGCTAATGGAAAACAGTTTCCTTTCCACTGTAAGTTTTTGATGAACCATCTGTGAAGTGTCTTATGGGCTTTAGTTCCTTTTAGAAGCGTTTTCACAAGACACTGCGTGTTTTATTAGTCTGTCCTTCAGTCTCATGCTGTCCCATGCAACTGTCTACTCAGGCAATGATTATTCTTGCAGATCTTTTCTCATGACCGAGGAGGACAAAGCTGCATTCATTTGGTGGCTCATCATAATGACTCAGATGGGACAAGATTGGACCCCAGACCCCTCTCCATGTGGACTGTGACCCAGTTTCTAGATCTTTTAAAACTGGAAATAGAATAATCTCCAGGTGGTAAGCTGGGTGGTAAAATGTTGGGTTTTATTCTTGTTTTCTACCAAAAAACAAAACTCTAAAACTAGTTGTCATATCATTTCAGAGAATTTTGGCTGCAGAGCTGAGTGATATCATGAAATGCATGTCCCTGTGTTGTTCTTCTTGGTCTTAATCCTTTGCCATCCTGTTTTCTGGCTTTAACTGATCCTGCCAGCCATACTGTTTCTGTTTCAAGACATCAGAACTCCTACTGTACAGCAATCTTGTCATTGCTTCTTGCTCTAGCTCGGTGGTTCTCAACTTGTGGGTCACGACTCCTTTGGAGGTCACCTTTCATAGGGTCACCTAAGACTATTAGAAAACACAGATACTTACCCTATAACTCATAACTGTAGTAAAATTACAGTTACAAAGTAGCAACGAAAATAATTTTATTGTTGGGGGGTTACCACAACATGAAGAACTGTATTAAAGGGTCAACATTAGGAAATTTGAGAACCACTAGTCTAGCCTCTACCCAACTTTGCTGTGTCTGTTGAGGCCCTGGACCCTGTAGACACCCCTGCTCCACGATTTGAGTAGCAGACTGGTTTGCTACATTCAGCTTTTCCTTTAACAATAATAATATAACAAGAAAATGATAGGAAGTATTTTGATGTGAGGACTTCAACCTGAACCTGTTTATAGTGTGATCAGAGTAAGACTTGGAGGGGGTACAAACCCCATCCTGTTGGCTAGGTGGTTAGATGCTGCCTCTGCTTGTTCCCTTAGGCTGAAGAAGCAAAGAGTAGCTGGTGATGATGTCATCCTTAGAATACTTTAAAGACCACTCCCCCTGCAAGATTTTCATCTCCTTGGCTGTCCAAGAAAACTTTTCTCTTTTGTGCTTTTACTTTAGGTTTTTGTCTGTGGTGCTGAAAAATGTGAAAGATTGTATATGTTCATTGTAGTGGTCAAATGCTTACTAGATTTGCTACATTATAGAAACAGCTTAAAAAGACAAAGACACAGTTGGCTATTAGAAGAGAGGTTTCTCTGTAGATGTAGGGAAATTAAGGAAGCCCTCTGGGGCTGGGGCTATAGCCTGGTTGTAGAACATTGTCTAGCATGTGCAAGAGCCTGTGGTCAAGCCCAACACTGAAAACTACATATGAGAGTTAAGTCCAGCCCTCTCTCCCACAACTAGAACAGAGTACATTCCCCCTATAAAACAATTTATAAACAATCATAGCCACTAAGCTAGTTGGAGGCATGGTTGAATTATTTGGGAAATGTCAAAAATTCCCTTTGCCTAATCTTTCTCTTATAATTGTTCACTTACTAGGTCTGTAGTAGATCATGTGTGTCAAAGGCTTATAAAATTCCATAGTTTATTCCAGTGCCCAACAAAGTTTGGAATCTTTCTCCTTAAAATGTCCATAGTACATGGCTGTTTGCATTCAGAAGAGAACTTGTAAATCAGTTACATTTCACTCATTGCCATCTAAATCACAGAGAAAAATTTCCGTAAGTGGAAACATTGAGCTGTAAGTATTGTAGACTATGAGATCCACGGCATTGAGAATGGGACTGAAGGCCAGTGGGAAGTCACTATAGATGGCATACTGGGTTATTGAAGAGGAAACCCCACACCGAGAAACATCAGTCTACACACCCCTCCCTAAATTTTACTGGTAGTCTAGAAGGGATGATTGATACCATTGAGATACAAACAGAGATAATTGATGACACTGCAAGGCACCAGAACCATGTGATCTACCTAGGCTGAACTTGCACTATGTAAGTGGGGTTTAATGTCTCTTGAGTAATTTTTCTTCCTTTAAACTACTCTTTTCATCTTTTTCCTAGATTTTTTTGTTTAAATTAGAAACAATCTTATTTTACTTATCAATCCCAGTTCCTTCTCTCTCCCATTCTCCCATGACCCTCACCAACGCCCCCATCTCATCCCCCTTCTGTTCCCCAGAGAGGGTAAGGCCTTCCATGAGGGATCTTTTTAAAATACCAAAATGAAAGGAGTCAGTTAAATACCATCAGTGCAGCTAGAATGGAGTGAAGACAACTGTATTTGCAAAAGCTATCCAGGAGCTAGGCGGTATCATTCAGAAACCTGGCACAGGCTGAGATTATATCTTGTCAAGCATCTTGTTAGCATATACAAATTCCTGGTGTGTATCTTGTCTGTAACTAAAATAGACAATTAGGTGAGTAACAGTGTCTAACTTACAACCTCACAATTTATACAGAGACACAATAAGTGTGTCAAGTGAAAAGTCACATATTTCCTACACAATTAACTTCCTTATAATTAAAAATGAATCTCCATTAAGTACTAATGAATATGTATTGAATGAATGAATGTATAATAAATGAATATATATTAAATGAATTGAATGTATTAAATATATAAATGAGTATATATTAAACAGTATTATCAATCTTGAGAGTGATCTATGTATTAGAAATAATGGAAATGCTGCTCCAACCATTGATTAACTCCTCTTTGCTCTTAAAATAGTTTCATTGCTTAAACTAGTCTTGCTGTTTAAATCTAGCTAAGCATCTCAGTTCACCTGTTTGAAAATAATCTTTGCTATTATGAAAACATGCAGAAACCAGAAATGTGTGTACATTTACATTACAATGGCTCCTCGGGTAGTGTAACCTAAGGCCAAGTCAAAGAGACATTTCATCTCCAAGAATGGCCGTATCTGTCTTGTCCACATCTGTACTCACACAACCCCAGAGAACCACGCCTCAGGATTCCAGGAGGTCTTCATTTTGCTTTTCTTGACACCGTTAGCCCACCAATAGCTATCTGTAAACAGTGTGGGTTAGCTTTATAGAAATTTTGTGAATGTTGCATAGACTATTACTATTTGTACTTTTTTTTCTCTTGCTTGGTATTCTACCTCAGGACAGGTTTCCCCTATTGTGACCCTCAGTTCTCTCTGCCTGCTGCTTCACTGAATGTTTATTGTGTGAGCCATTTACTTCTAACCAACAGCACCTGGCAACAATCAGGGGTGAAGTGACAAAAAATCTAACTTTCCTCTTGTGACCAACCCTCTTACACAGATGTCCCTCTGTCACTGGCTTTGATGAATCCAGGTGTGTGGGAGTTCTGAGGTTCTCACCCCAATGCTACCAAGGACACAAATGTTCTCAGCAACCACAGTAGTGAATTTGGAAGTGGACTCTTCCAGGCTGTCCATAACATAAGACCCCAGGGCCAGCTGACATATGAGGACAAAGATAATGAAGTCTGTCTGCATCGGATTCCTGATCTACAGAAACAAACAATAAATGTGTGGTGTTCTAGCTGCTATGTGTTCAGGGAGTGTAGCATAACCACTGGTTATTACTGTAGATTCATTTGGTCTCTCATCACCCATAAAGGGGCAAGAAAGAATCAAAAGGTGTGAACAAGTAGATACGCTAGGATATTCTTAGTCAGGAGGTCTGAAAACCCAGTGGGATGACTGTTTCCCTGTGTGATCCAGTAAACTCTGTTTACCAAGGCATTAAGGGGCAATTGGAAACAATTTCTGCAAGAAAGATAAGGAGACACAATGACATTTTATTTATGTACCTTCAATTTTTCAATTTATTTAAGATGTAGGAAGGTTGATTGTAAAAAAATCTAGCAAAGAACAAATTATGACAAGAGATTATAGAGTTCAAAGGAAGTTCCCAAGTGTGTTCATTTTAGACAGAAACAGGCAGGACTGGGGCAATATATTCGGTGTTCCAATTCATCTCAGTTGTATCAGGCTTTGCAATGGGCCTCTCAGGATTCCACATGCAGATGGTCTACGTCAGGAACCGCGTATGGTGAAGAAGAGGGGACTATGTGTGCAGCACTCAGCAGCAGGAACCACTAGAGCATGCTGGGCGGCAGCAGGTGGTCTGGCAACAGCTGGGGCGGCAGCAGCTGGAGATGCAGCACTGGGGTCTGCAGCAGCTGGACACACAGCAGCTGGGGCGGCAGCAGGTGGGCCTGCAGCAGCTGGAGATGCAGCAAGAGGGCCTGCAACAGCTGGACACACAGCAAATAGGGCGACAGCAGGAAGGTCTGCAGCAGCTGGAAATGCAGCAGCTGGGACGGCAGCAGCTGGATCCACAGCAGCTAGAACTGCTACAGCAGGGGCGGCAGCAGCTGGAGATGCAGCAGCTGGGGTGACAGCAGCTGGACACACAGCAGCTGGGGCGGCAGCAGGAAGGCCTGCAGCAGCTAGAAATGCAACAGGTGGGGCGGCAGCAGGTGGGCCTGCAGCAGCTGGACACACAGCAGCTGGGGCGGCAGCAGGTGGTCCTGCAGCAGGTGGTCTGGCAGCAGCTGGGCTGGCAGCAGCCTTGGCCACAGCCCTCCTCAGAGCAGACAGAGCCACAAGAGTTGACCATGGTGTGAGAGGTGGAGGTTCTGGACGGGTTTACAAGAAGGTGGGTTGGAAGGTTTGGAAGTGGGAGTCTCCCTGCCCACATCCCCTTTTATACCCTGCTGAGGGGTGCTGTCCTCACATGCGGCATTCTTTCCTTGTTATTGTTTGTGTTAATAAATAGGCGATTATCAAATTATGTAAGTTTCTTTTCCTAGCTAAATTACCAAGGTGGATGAAAAACATGATTTACTTTTCCTGGTGTGCTCATTGTCCACTGCTGCTGAGCCACCATCTAAATGTCTTTCCTCATTCAGTTTCTTTGAAGAGCACTGTCTCCTGGCATTTTGCATCTTGGTTCTGTTTACTTTGTTCTCATTTTGTATGTCCCACTGTATCCTTAAGTCAGGGTTGTGGTACTGTAATTGTATGAAAATACCTCTTATATTCTAAGAAACTGCAACTTTTTCTGGATGTATACATACTCATACACAGACTTAATACAAATACAATATTTTAATAAAAGATATACAGAGACTAATAAAAGCATCAATGGAGGCTTAATTTGAGGAGATTAAGAAAGATATTTCCCCATGCAAAACGCACAGAGAGAGAGAGAGAGAGAGAGAGAGAGAGAGAGAGAGAAGGAGAGAAAAGGAGGAGGAGGAGGAAGAGACAGACAGAGAGACAGAATATTTTTAATGAGTTATTTCTTTTCATGACTTCTGGTGGGAGGGGGAATGTCTCCGTTAAGATCTATTTTTATTTTGGGGGAGACTGTGGGTCTACATGTGTGTGCATGCATATAAGTGTCTGTAGAAGTCAGTATAGGGCATCAGAGCTGGAGTTAAAGGTAAGTGGGTGTCCTCTGATGTGGCTGATCCTTGAACCAAACTCTGGTCCTCTACAAGTACAGCAAGTTCTCTTAACCACTGTGCCACTTCTCTAGACCCAAAAGACAAGGTGTATTCTTGTCATAGGTGACAGGTAGATAATACCAGTCCCGGAAACAGTGGCTCTCATGGTTGGCTACATGGTAGAGACACCCTGAAGAGTGTTGTAAACTAGCCAGTTCGTGGCTTCTTATTTAATTAGTGTGTAGTGGAGCCTGGGACTCAGAAGATTTTCAGCATCTCAGATTCTGTAAATAGGCACTGAAGTTTCAGACCCACCTCCTTTAATTGTCCATATTACATGTATTTGTGTTGATTTCAATGAATAAAATAGGTTTCAAAATAATGAAATTTCAATTAATAGTATGTGAATAACAGAGAAATCACCCTGAATCACAAACAATGAAATTTAAGCTTTGATGAATATTCTTTGTTGTTGTTAGCTACTCTATTACCAACACCAACAGACCCACATGGGTAAGAATAATTGCTCTATTTTGGAGTACAGTGAAAAATTTCTATAAACAGAACACTAAGTGATTACAGAGGAAACACAGACATGGGAACATCATGAGTCCATGTACTGGGTAAGTTCTACAGTTTGTTTAAGTAGAGTTGATATTAAACATCTCTACCACACTTACAAATACTTCTCTTATCACAGTGAGTAGAAAGGGGTGAATAATTTTTCTATTATACAGTGTGTTCCCTTTTGTCTTTATAGGATAATGTAATGGAAGAGATCAGATAAACACAGTGGAATTGTGAATGGGCATGGTTGGCATTTGCAAATGCCACTCAGCAGTCAATTTCAATTGAAAACGTAAGTAATCCGATGCTTGTTGACGGTAGGTAATTTAAATACATGATAAGCAGACCAGACTTTACTTACCAGGTATCACTTATGCTATGCAAATATGCAAATGCACAGTCCACTCTTTTTTATAAATACCTACTATGCATTCTGTGTAGCTATGTGTAGCTAAAGTATAATTCCAGTAGGTGGGTTTCATTCTGGCCTTTTTTTTTCACACTTTATCTATATAGAGATACAATAGTTATTTTTAACAGACAGAAAATGAAGCTTATTTTGGATTATCAAGCTTCACTTACACATTTCAGAATATATATTAAATAATATTGTTAGACCTGCTGTGAAATGATACATATATTCAGAACAATTTATGAAATAATAATATCCACCTATTTTTATTTAATTTCATCTTATTTTTTAAATCTTTCCATGTTATTTGTCTATGCCTGGTTGTGAGTATTTGATTTGTAGGTAGCACAAAGGTCCTTTACTCACAGGTAAGGGGAACCTGGAATGATGTTCCTTCAAATAAACACAGTGTTGCTGCTTCAAATGAAGGGATATGTAGCCTGTTATCTACCCAGAAGGCTGGGTGCAGATCTGGTAAATATCCTGGTGACCATTTTCTGTTTATGTGGCCAAGACCACAGTGGATCCTCCCTCAAGACTCTTATCATGCTTTTCTCAGACAATCTATAGATACTATTTTTACAGAAGGTGTCACATGCAGTCAATCTATAAAAGTCATCTTCATGGAAAGTATCACGCCGACTTTACAAAGAGTTTTTGATGTAGTCACAGCCAAACTTTATTTACCTTACTTTGTTCCTCAAAGAGATTTTGTGTGTGTTTTGTTGTACACAAGGGATAAGTTAATTATCACCAGAGAAGTTTTCACCAACACATGCTATGCTTAAATATGCCTAAATAAACTCCTCAGAGTCAGACTCCCAAAGTTTGAAGCAATGCTGCCTACTTAGTCATGTTGAACACATGAACAGATCATTATTCTACTAGCCATGGTGGCCACAGAGACTCTGCAATTGGTATTATAAAAACACAGGTATCCTGGAAGGTGTATGAAATATTCGTGTATAACATAGAAAATAATTATTAAGCCAGTATCTACCCACTCACATCCCAGTGGAGAGTCTTTTCTTCATCAAGTAGAGTTCCCACATGTCTTTCTTGACTATATCTCCCTTCCTCCACCAGAGTTACTATCCCAATTTTTGGAATAATCTTTTTTATTTCCTTTACTCAAAATTCAATCCCCTAGGTTTGCATTTTTAAACAATGAATCTTAGTTTTGCTCTTTTTGAATTCTCTGCAACAGAATGTCATTCTGTTTTGAATTTCAATTGTTTTCTTCTGTATCCTACACTCTCTTGGACAGACAACATCAAGGGCAGCCTCAGTTATGCTCACTCCATGCTGTGCTTTATGTAGAGTATCCACCGAATGCTATGTGTTACAGTCTGAGTACCCCGAGGACCAACATTAGGAGGTTTTGTGGGCCCCCACCAGGAGGAACCACTGGAGAAGAGTCATAGCTCATTGACTCATGCCTTCCATGAGCATTTGTCTTAGTTAGGGTTTCTATTGTAAAACACCATGAACAAAAGCAATTTGGGGAGGAAAGGGTTTGTTTCAGCTTGCATTTTCATAGCACTGGCTCAACTAAGAGAAGTCAGGGCAGGAACTCAAGCAGGACCGAAACCTGAGGCAGGAGCTGATGCAGGAAGCCATAGAGGAGTGCTGTTTACTGACTTGCTCCTCATAGCCTGCTCAGCCTATTTTCTTATACTATCCAGGACCGCAGACCAGGAGTAGTACCCGTGAGCTGCCTCAACCATTAATCAAGAAAATGCCCCTCATTTTTAAAACCACTTTCTCTTGCTAGCAACTGTCTTTTGCAGGCTCTCCCTGTGTCACTGGGTTGATGACATCTGCTGCAATGCAGGAGAGAGTCATGTGGCAAAAAGGAGGAGATAACCTTCATACAGAACACACAAAGGTGCTGAGGATCTCATCCCAGTGGTGTCAAGGAAGAAGGCATTCTCAGCTGTCACAGAAGCTTCAAGCTGGGTTCTTTCAGACTGACTCCACAGAGGAGACCCCAGGGCCAGCCAACATATATACTGAAGCTTAAGAAGTGCTAGGAAACCAAAACTGCAGCCACACTGTCTGGTTCCTGACACACAGACACAGTTACTAGTGTGAAGTCTGTATGCTACTAAGTTTCGAAGTCATGTAAGGACAAGTGACTAGTGTAAAGAGCACCAAGAAAAGGAAGAGATCAAAGGTTACAGAGAAGAAGATATGGTAGAATACACTTATTTTTTTTTTGGTTTTACGAGACAGGGTGTACTGTTTTGGAGGCTGTCGGTCCAGCCCGGCCTCGAACTCACAGAGATCCGCCTGCCTCTGTCTCCCGAGTGCTGGGATTAAAGGTGTGCACCACCACCGCCCTGCCAGAATACACTTATTCTTAAAGGCTATAGATCCAGCAAACTCATTTTATTTCTAGGTGGCCCAAAAGATGCTCTCTTTACTAAGATGATTAGGGTAGGGCAGTTAAGGGGTCATCAGCATTGTGGAGAAATTCAGAGTAGAGACAATTCATTAAACCCTCAGTTATTTTTTGTTTTTGTTTTTGTTTTTTGTTTTTGTTTTATGAGACAGGGTTTCTCTGTATTGTTTTGGAGGCTGTCGGTCCAACCCGGCCTCGAACTCACAGAGATCCGCCTGCCTCTGCCTCCCTAGTGCTGGGATTAAAGGCATGTGCTACCTACCACCGCCCGGCTTAAACCCTCAGTTTTATAGGAAGTATTGCTGCCGAATGTAGCTCCTTGGGAATAATGGGATTGATAAAGTCACAAAAGAATCCAGGTAGAAACATTTAGCTCTGAAAATTAATATGGGTATAATTATGGGATGGGTAACCAGTTAGGAATGGCAACTAGGACAGGAGTAGAGTATAACTCCCAGGAATCTGTGGATTTTGAAGGAGAACCTGGTATTCATAATTGTAAGACATGGGCACCACAACTTAGAATATCTGTTACTGTAGGTTCTACAAATATATGTGTATCAGTACACATGTATATGCATATATATTTGTTTCATTAGTGCATATTAATGAAACAAAATAATGATTTCATCGTGACATTCCATATAGGTATATAATGTACTTTGATGGTACCTGTCTCTCAATCTCTACCATCATCCTGCTACCATTTCCTAAAGGCCATCTTCCATTTTCATGCATATAGTTTTTACACATATGGAAGGAAATGTAGTGATTGTCCATGTGAGGACAACTGTCTTTTGGAAAGTTTTTTTTTAAAAAAAAGACTTCTTACTTATAACTATAGGTACTTATGGTTAGAAACATTAGTATTTACCACCTTTGCAGTGGACCACAGGTTCTAATAGGCTGTGTTTTCATTCGTATTTGATTTTAGGAATTTTATAGCTCTCTCGGTGATTTATCCAATGACTGATCACTCAAAGAATTTCTCTATGTCAGCATTGTTTCTGTAATCTCTTTCACTGCTGATTTCATTCCACTTTGATCTGATAGCATGAGAATTATTTTCATTTTTTTTTTTGGTTTTTTTACGAGACAGGGTTTCTCTGTTTTGGAGGCTGTCGGTCTAGCCTGGCCTCGAACTCACAGAGATCCGCCTGCCTCTGCCTCCCAAGTGCTGGGATTAAAGGTATGTGCCACCAACGCCCGGCTCTTATTTTCATGTTTTTTTTTGTGTTTATTAAGAATTGATTTATGGTCTTAAATATGATTTGGAGAAATGTTTCACAGGGTCCTGAGAACATGTAGGATGTATAATGGAACATTCTTAGGTTCCTGTTCAGTATGTATGACCTAATAGTATAAGCCAGCACTAAAGCTTTGTGGTAATTTTTGGAGAAGGGTTTAGAAGACCAATAGACTGAAGAGGCAGCATCGAAATCTTCCATTATTATTATGTGTGGACAAATTCATCCATTTGTATCAGTAGTGTTTGTTTTGTGGAGTTGGGCACACAACTTTTAGTGCATATATTTAGCACTGATGATCTACTGTGCAGTCCTGGAAATTTTGGCTTGAGTGTTAAATGTAAATGGCAAAGAATAACAGCTGTAGTTAAATAAGAATATTTATTTGGCCACTGACTCAGAACTCTCAGGATGTTAGTCTTCAAAGAAGGCATCTGATGTTCCTACTATAACTTCCTCTAATGAGCTGGAGTAAATAGAAGAAGGGGTATGAATGGACAAAAACGATGCTCTACACAGGTACTGTGTGCTGTGTTTTGAGGATAATTTTTTCATATACATTTGCTACTTTCTCTACATATAGCTACTGTACCTGCATCTCTCCTATGTCGAGTAGTCACAGATGGTGGTAACCGAGTAGCAGTGTAAAGATGCAGGCACTTTGCATCTAAGAAAGGAAGGGCTGTAGTCCTGCTCAAATTCTAGAACCCCCCTGTCAAACGATGCCAAATGGGTTGGCATTTATGGAAAACACACTTTGCTTCTATTATTGTAATCTTCTCCCTGCAAGTTTCTTCCAGGTTCCTCTGGAGAGCCTATCCTTGTTACTACTCCTGCAAAACCTTCTGTGTAAGGTTCTACTCTTACCGAATCCAACAGAGCACAGACCTTTTATGACAGCCCCTTAAACACAGCCTGCTTTAGCATGCTGCCTGCTCATATTCCCTTAAATACATGTAGAAGCACAGAGGCTTGAACTCTTCTGCCTAAAGATTGAACTTTGTAATAGACTGTCCACAGGAGGGATCCAAGTACTGGCTCCAAACATCTATATCTATGCTTTCCAGTGACAATTTCTAGGGGGAAAGAGATGGCATACATGGTACCATGTCCTGTGGTCTTTTTGTATTTAGAGACAGACTACAGAAAGCTGATAATGTGATAACAGGAAGTAAAAAGGAGACAAAATACTTTTATATTTACAAGACTGCAAAATCCATCTTTATTTAAGTTGTAGGAATGATTCCATTTTAGGGATAGGTCAGAGAACAGTGCATTCATGAGGGCTCACATAATAGTTTCAAGGGATCAAAAGGGAATTCAAAGTTCTGTTCATATAGGAAAGAGAGAACACTATCATGAGATATGGGGTATATTTCTAGGCAAAAACAGAATACTAATCAATTGGAGTAAAGAGCTTGTAGCTGACATCGCAGGATTCAGTTCACAGGTAGTCTATCTCAGGAATGTTAGTTGGTGAAGAAGGGGAGGCTGTGGGTGAGAAATCTCAGCAACAAGAACCACTAGAGCATGCTGGGTGACAGCAGGTGGTCTGGCAACAGGTGGGCCTGCAGCAGCTGGACACACAGCAGCTGGGGCGACAGCAGGTGGGCTGGCAGCAGCTGGGTCTGCAACAGCTGGACACACAGCAGCTGGGTCTGCAACAGCTGGACACACAGCAGCTGGGTCTGCAACAGCTGGACACACAGCAGCTAGGGCAACAGCAGGAAGGCCTGCAGCAGCTAGAAAGGCAGCAGCTGGGGCAACAGCAACTGGATCCACAGCAGCTAGAACTGCTGCAGCAGGGACGGCAGCAGGAAGGCCTGCAGCAGCTAGAAATGCAGCAGCTGGGGCGGCAGCAGCTGGGGCGACAGCAGGTGGGCTGGCAGCACACAGACTGGCAGCAGCTGGGTCTGCAGCAGCTGGACACACAGCAGCTGGGGCGGCAGCAGGTGGTCTGGCAGCAGCTGGGCTGGCAGCAGCCTTGGCCACAGCCCTCCTCAGAGCAGACAGAGCCACAAGAGTTGACCATGGTGTCAGAGGTGGAGGTTCTGGACGGGTTTACAAGAAGGTGGGTTGGAAGGTTTGGAAGTGGGAGTCTCCCTGCCCACATCCCCTTTTATACCCTGCTGAGGGGCTGCTGTCCTCACATGCGGCATCCTTTCCTTGTTATTGTTTGTGTTAATAAACAGATGATTATAAAGTTAAGTGATATTGCTTTCCTGGCTAGATTTTTCAGGTTGGGTAGGAAACACAATTTCCCTTCCTGATGTGTTATAATTTGTCTGTCAGCACTTCCTGAATTACCTTTCTAACTTAACATCAAAGGGCACTGTCACATGGCATTTTGACCCTTGATATTACACAAGTCTCAGTTCACAAGGCATAGCCTGTTCATTCTGGTGTGGCATATAATTGTTTCTTGTCATTCAGGGGAGTAAATTCATGGTACACTCTTATTGCTCATTTTCTGACTGTTGCACTATTTTCTGACACAATAGTAAGACATGAAATTTTGATGTTTACTTTTTGTCAAACACAAACACTCCAAACTTACACTTAGGGCATCTCAGGGGAAGTTGGCTGCCAAGTCCAGCTACAGCATGAGATCCAAATCCCTTAGCTTGCTGTTGTGGATCTGACTCACTGTTGACTTACTGTCTTTCTGGATTCAGTGGGAGATATTGACCTATTTCCTTTTTTAAGATACTCTTGCCTACCCACACATGATAGTTCACTGTGTGCTTGCCTGTTGCTCTAACTTGGATCCTGCCATGTTGTGTTGTTGAACTGTTAAAGACCAATGCTTTCCTGCTTCACCTGGCTTGTCTGTCGTGGGTTATTCAAACAGGAGATGATTGGGTATAGATTTCTAACTCATGACTTCTGCCTGTGTTTTCCCTGTAAAAACATCATGCATGCTTAAAGGCTGAATAAAATATGCTTACTTCAACTTCTAGCTGCTGACTCTTTGGAAAACCAGGACTGCTGCCAGGCCCTTGTGCACCTCCATCTCTGGAGTTAAGGGGACCTGATGGAGATCCTGGCTTTGTGTCATAATCTTCCAGGTTCAAGCTGAATTCTACTTTCGGGCACTCTGGGCAATGCCTGTGTAAGGCTGCTCTCTCTGAGAGCACTCATGTATATCTCCAGTCTGTTGTCAGTCTTCCCATAAAACCTGTTCTTCTGAGTGTCTGGGAATTGTAAAGTTAGGAAAGAGGAATTGTACTGAATGTTTCCAAACGATTTAAGCATGCTTGTATGAGAGAAAACACTAACAATGGGAAATTTCAGAGGCAATGTCAAATTAAAAAACAAAACAAACAAACAAACAAAAAACCCTAACTAACCAGGACAAAATGAATAACCACTTACTAACCATGAAGGGGAACAATAAATGCACCTAAATTTCTTTAAAGGAATTTTTAAAATAACCTACAATCCCTGAGGTTGTGTCTAACCTTATCAACTTTTAACCTGACCAGGCATAATATTTTGATCAAATTAGCATGCTACTCTTGGACCTGAGTGGAAAAGTGGGTTGAAACTGGGCACAGTAGTGCATAACTATGAATCTCAGTGCTTACAAGGCTGAAAGGCATCTATGAGGTTGAGGTCAGCCTAGGCTACATCATGAATTTGTGACTAACCTGAGCTACATAGAAAGAATCCCATCTCAGAAAAGAAGAAAAGAAAAAATGGTTGAGACCTACTGATGTAGAAATAACCAGTGCACATTTCTAAGAAATTGGTGTGGTTTATACTGACAAATTTTTAGGTGTTTCGCACTATAGTGAGTTAAGTGTTAATTCACACTGCCAACCATCTGCAGACATAAAGCTCCTGTGTTCCAACACTCATGCATTCTTGGAAGTGTGGTATTTATGAAGGAGAGGAAATAATTCTCCTCTTCTCCAAGCAGTCAGAACCTACCCACAAAGTGTGTTTAACTCTACAAGCCAGAACAATGGAAATAAATGTGTTATATGGAGAGTAAAGTCAATGTGATAATGGCATTGTGACTAAGGAGCCATAAATGGGAAACTCTGAAAACTAAGCCCCAAGAAGGGAAACTAGAATAAATCCATGACATGTAGTTTGATAGAGGGGACATGGATATCTCCAAGAAAAACATCTGCCTTGCCCTGTGAGATTGACTTGTAAAATGGGTTGCCCTGAGGTAGTCAGTGGAGAGACCTAAGTAAGTGTTATTGCATGTTTTAAATCCATATTAGTTAGTCATTTATACTTCTTTTAAGATGTGTCTGTTCAGTTCATTTGTCTATGTATTATTGGATCATTTGTTCTTTTGATGGTATATTTTTAGTTCATTATGTATCTGAGTAATAATCCTTTTTTCAGATGAAAGTCTCCTCCCCTCTTCTGTAAGACTAGATTCCAGTATGAATAAAAATCTTACTTACACTTGAAGACTAGAAAGGAGAGGCATTTCAGGTTCAGGTAGAAACCTGGTGCAAAGGAACCTCAACGAATCTACAAAGATGACCCCCAAGTAAGACTCCTAGCAACAGTGGAGATGTAGCCTGAACTGGCCGTCTCCTGTGATCAGATCGGTGACTACCTCAATTGTCATCAGAGAGCATTCATCCAGTAACTGGTAGAAACAGATGCAGGGACCCATAGCCAAACATTAGACCAAACTCCAGCAATACTTCTAATAAGAGCGAGGAAGGATTTTACAAGCCAGAGGAGTCAAAGACATCACAAGAAAACCCACAGAAATAACTAACCTGGCTCATAAGAACTCACAGAGTCTGAACTAACAACCAGAAAGTCTGCAGAGGACCAACCTAGGCTCTCTCTCTATACACACACTCACACACACACACACACACACACACACACACACACGTATGACAGTTGTATAGCTTGGTCTACTTGTGGTACTCCCAACAATGGGAGCAGGGGCTGTCCCTAACGCCCTAATGTTTTGGCTGGCTCTTGGGAACCTATTCCTCATACTGGGTTGTTTTGCCCAGTCTTAATATAAGGGGGGATGCTTAGTCTTACTGCAAGTTGATGTGCCATGCTTCGTTGATATCCATGGGAATTCTGTCCATTTTTGAACAAAAACAGAAGAGGAGTGGATTGGGGTGGGGTAGCAGAGGACAGGTGGGGAAAGAGAGAAGGAGGGTGAGGGAGGGAGGGAGGAAGAGAGGGAGGGTGGGACTGAGGGAGACAAAGGAACAGAAAGCACACTAACAGTAGTGCTGATGAAGACATGGGGAAAGTGAAGCCTTGGACACTGATGGTGGGGAATATAAATTGGTCCAACTCCTATGGAAATCAGTATGGAGATGTCTCAGGACTAAAAGCAGACCCACCATGTGACTCGGCTGTCCAGTTCTCGTGTATACACAGAGGATGCTAAGTCAGCACATCACAGAGATGCACCCATCCATACCGCCTGCAGTGCTATTCACAATGGCCAAGTTGTTCATCAGACCAGGAACCCATCAGCAGGTGCACAAATAAGGAAAGTGTGGTATGTAAACACAACAGAGTTTTATTTGTTATAATGAAAGAATGAACTATGCCATTGGCTAGGAAATAGCCACATTAAGTAAAATACGTCCAGCTCAAAAAAGAAAAAGATTGCATATCTTCTCTCATCTGTGGTCCTAGACTGTCTATAGATAAATAAATGTATTATATGTATTTAATGTGAAAACAGAAGTTGAGGGCAAAGAGGAAGGATGCGGGAGGAGGCGAGGGGATGAAGAGGAATATGGAGAACGTGTGTAATGTAATTGAAGGAGATTGTCTTTCTGAAACCTAGCAATACACATAATGAATACACACCAATAAATGTAAATAAGAATGAGAGATGAGCACATTTTTCTCCTTGAAGGCTAAAAGTTTTATTGGGAAATACGAAGCAACCTGAATGAAAACAAATTCCACGAGGGGGGGCATTCAAAAGAAAAAAATCTAGACGTAAAACATTTAACATGTACTTTGAAGCATGTACTCTAAAACAATTTGAAGAATAAGTTTATTATAATTCCGATGTACTGGTATCAAAAATGATTTTTAAGAGAGAAGAAATAGTGACAAACACTTGGCTTTTCCAAATCATTCCATGAGTCTGTCTGTGTGTGACATCAGTATGCAACATGCCCTGTTGCATAGATGCCTGGAGTGTAGCATTAAGATGAGAAAGAGAGCTGATCCAGGTCAGTCACTCGGCAACATGCACCACTACAGCAGCTGGGGCGGCGGCAGCAGCCACGGCCACAGCCCTCAGAGCAGACAGAGCCACAAGAGCTGACCATGGTGTCAGAGGTGGATATTGGAAATGGATTTCCAAATGAATATATGAATTGAATCTGGACATCTCCTGGGTCCCCTTTTATACCCTGCTGGGAGTGTTCTTCCTTTTCAATGTTAACCATACTAAGTAGACAATCATTACATTAGACAGTTATGCTTTCTACATTTGAGGGGAAACACTCTGTTTTCCTGGTGGATTAAGGCCTATCCCATTAATTTCCTGATACACACTTAGCACAAGCACCATAATTCAGATACTAAGTATCCTAACTAAGGGTTCTGATGCTCACTCCTTCTTTCTTTCCCCCTGAATCATTTTGTCTTCTCTTCTTTGTGCTCATTCCTTCAGCTTCTCCCATACAGGACAGTTCTCTGGAGGCTGACATTCGGTCCAGGTGTTGCTCTTCCCTGGCTGTAGTTTCAGAGACATAACAGATCCAATAAGATACTCTGAAATCACAAAAGCATCAAATTTAGCAATGGAAACCAAGGCAAAAATCCACACAGCGTGCCCAATTGTGACCAAAAGTAGTCAGTGAGCAACAATAGAAGAATCCCCACAGTGTTCACACTATTCCCACCCCACTTCCTGGACTGGAAAAGCCTCACGGTTTTTTGGTTTTGACAAGTCAGTGTGTTTAGCAAGCTGGAATTTGCACAGGCCTTGTGCAGGATTTATGTAGGGTTTCTGTAAGTAACCACAGCTGTTTCTGCCACAGCCATGTCATGTCCAGGGAA